CAATTCCACAGACCCTTAAAGCCAGGCATATTTATACAAGCATGGGACTGACGATAATAATAGTTAAAATAGAAATTTACTAAGGAAATGTATACGGGGCTGGCTGCTTGGTGAGGAGCTGTTAGACCAGAGCCAAAGGTTAGTTTGAGCTTGTATCAGGTAAAGTTTATGTAAGGTTTAAACGATTTTGTTACAGGAACTGCAGTACATCTTTTTCATTTTACTTCTATTATACAATTCTGTGACTCCATGTTCTCTCTGCCCGCTTTCTATGCTCATTGTAGCTTTAGCTTCATATAGCCTGGTTCTTTGTTTAGCTATGACAGCATTCTCGAGGGAGGCATCAGCTGGGCTGCTGCCATTAACAACTTCCATTACAGATGATGGCCTGGCCCGTTCGACAGTGCTTAGTCCTGTTTCTCTCCTGGACATTTGGGCTCTGCTGTTACTGTAACTAACTGTATGTGCTCCCTTTTATCAGTTTTAAACCTGCCCAGAGATCATCTTACTGTTTATTTCCTTGACAAAGTCACCTGTGGAGCAAGTTTATCATTGCCTTTTCGAGCAAAGAAGGTAGTCTAGGATCACTGCTTCTGTATTCCGTTTGTATGTCTGCTCCTAACTGCTTGAAACCCCAGTCTGCCTCAGCAGAAGGCCGCTCACACTGAGCCTGGTTCTGCTGGAGGTGTCTTTTTTTAAAAAGGGAGTTTTTCCTCTCCATTGTCTCTGAATTCGGTGTGAGGGAATGCTGTAGATGAAAGAGAATATTTGCTTTCACTACATGCTTCCAAGAGGAGCAAAAGCTTCAAAGTTAATTGACTTGATGCAATCAGAAAGTGTTTAACTTCTCACTGTAATATGCCTTGAGATAACTTGTTGTGAATTGGCACTATATAAATAAAGGGAATGGAATTTAACCATTAGTCATATGGAACCTAATTCCAATAAAATTATTACTATATCAATTACATGGTTCCATAGTTACAGTGAACTTAAGCTTTATTTTTAAATTTTCTATGTGTTCTGTTTAGAAAAGACCATAGCGGTTCATGTCTAAAAAAGGTTTTGATTTGCTAAAACATATATTAAGCATTTTATTTTGTAGAGTATGTTGATACCTTATTTTGAAAATCTGGCATGTTATTGTTTTAATGATAAAATAGACCCATTAGTCTAAGGAAGCTACTTCTAGTTAACATTTTATGCTACCATCTGCATATTTACATCATATAGTTTTTAGTTGAAAGGTAAGGCTTATACATTGAACATTTCAGAGGATTCTGATGTTAAAAGCCTATAATAGTAAATTCTTCAAAACTAATTTCTGGTAACAATCCTTAATAATTATAATCCTTGGTCCTTAATCTACTGCAATAATCTGCTGTGTCAAATATTGTATTCTATACTGTATGTCTTATTTTGAAATCCAATGGTACTCTATTATCTCATCAAGTGGTGTAATCTCTTAGATGTGTTAAGATTAATTAAAATGTGCATTTATTTTTGATACAGTATGGGCTAAAAATGTCATAGTGTTTTCCTGCATAATGCAGGTTCTATTGACCTTAATCCTGGAGTTGTTTTTTATGCGATAGAAGGTTGACATTGTTACTGTCTATGAGTCTCTGAAGGTTCAGGTCTGAGTCAATCCTACACTCATTTCTAGCCTTATTGATGGTTTCTAGTTGTATTAACTAAAGCTGTATGCTGGCATTTAAACAATCTTCCTTTGGCCCCAAAATATGTCTTCAGTTTTGTTTTGGTTCAGTGGTAAGAAATGTTGGCACATTCATGCTTTCATTTATTTCATGCCTTTTCACTCTAGGATTCCGGATCCAAAGTCTCACTTGAAATATATTAAAAAAACAAAAACAAAAACATGCTGCATTGATTTGAAATTTTCGTTTAATCGGAATAGGTTTGACTGAAAACCAAATCAAAGAAATTTTACAAACTTGTGTGAAAGCAGAGGCTTCAAACTGATGAAAAAAATAAAAAAATAGCAACCATAAAGCTTAATTTGGGGCCAATTTGGAAGAGATAAAAGTCCTTCTCTCTCTAAAAAAAGCTCCTCCTTTTACTTTGACCTTTTCCACAAACTGTGCTGTTTAAGCTCTTATTTTAGAGAAACCATAGCAGGTATGCACAAACCATTATCAGTTTTTAGAAGTTAGGGCTAAGAAAAGGAAGTGAAACTGTATTTGTAAGTGAAAATATGACAACCAGGTGAAGGCTAAAACAAATAGTATATTTTTATGGGTTTTTTTGGCCTGGCTTTTGGTCAATTCCATCGCCATTGTAACTCAAAATACCGACAAAAGTAATTGTAAACATCTTGTGTATGATCTTTGTACATTTTGACACTTACATGATTTAGGCTGCATTAATTATAATGGAAAACAATATACAGTCCAATTTAGAGGTATAGAATAATAGGTGCCTCCATGTGATGCATGTGGAGAGAATACCATTGCTCTTCTATTGCAGGCCCCAATACAGATACCAGATACAAAGCCTTTAATGAGGAGTATACTGGCTTATATATGGGCTGGAACGCTGGCTTGTAAAACTGACTGTTTTACTGGTGTTTCTGCTGAATAAAAATGTAATGTCCCCTATGACGGTGTCAATGAGTTCAGGCCCTCAGGGTTGATAAAAGAAAGGTCGATCTTCCAGACCCAGAGGCGCGGAGAGAAGCTGCAGACCTTGACACTGGAACAGAGCAGGTATACGAAGCTCTGACCCCCAGTGCCTGAGGACATGCTGGAATCAAGCCATTGTGGCTGCAGAGTAATCAAAGAGTGTCTGGTTAGCTTTCTTTCACATACATTGCTGCATCACTATTCCCATCCACCCACAAACTCTCCATCCACCGCAGCTTCGACAAGCATAGTAAAGCTGCAGCCATAGCAACGGGAAGGCCTGCCAATGTCCTTGGGGATCATTTCTTGACAGAATTCCCCTGTGCCTTCTATTAGCAAAAGGTTGCTCCCTCTGCTGAAAAACTGTTTGTCTTTGCAGACATGTAAGCTGCAGTGGCTGTTGGCTGCCGTTATCATCCCACCCATCTGTTAGGTCCTACCGCTCCACTCATTCAGGATGCTGAAACTAATCCCTTAAACTTAGCTATAGGAATTTAAGGCTGCCAACTCTGTGTTGTATCCAAAAAGCCTAAGGATAGTAAACAGAAGGAAGAAGAAAAAAGGGGAGGAGTGAAACAAGTTCTTGGATAACAATCAGGTTGGTGGCAGATCGTTGTTTAAAGCTTTTAGTTCCAGTTTGGTCTCTACTCTCTACAATGTCACTTTTTCTTCACAAAATCACAAATCACACTGTTCACGCTACAAAAAAGAGCAGTTTCTAACATAACCCTCAGCAATCTTTGTACCTCCCTCACAAACCACCAGTCAAAGACAAGATGTATGGGATGGTTTGTTTCAGTACCAGATGGTAGAAAGAAAATGACATTAGAAGAGGGTGGAAGGATGAATGGAAAGCATCAGCCTTTCCAGAATGAACTGGAAGTATCAAATTTATGTTCTTTTTTGGCTGCAGAACAAGCAAGCAATGGTTCTTTGTGTGCCTCTCCTCTGTGCTTCTTTGATATAGCCCAGCGCAATAGACACAAACACTAAATACTTAAATTATATTAAAATCCTTATTATATAAACAGATGGGAAAAATATGCCCCCTCAAGCAGATTTCTTGTGTTTTGTTTCACCCGAACATGCTTCCGATCATTCAAACCATTTTGTTTGATCACTCACACTTAAAACCAACAAAATGCACATTAAGAATTAAGATTTCATTTATTCAATCAGAAAAAAACAAAGCTAAATAACCTTGACATGTAACTTAAAAGGTAATAATATTAACCCTAATGAGTGGTAGCATCAGCGATTAACAGCTTGTCATTAACATTGTTGTATATAAACAATTTTGCTCACTTTTCGTAGCTGAATTGCTTTTATTCAACATGAATGATATTCTTTTAAGGACTTGCCACAGCATCGTTGCTGGATTGAATTGCAATGCAAAACCCAAATGCTCTTGAGCTGAAGGTCAAATACTGACAGTTCTTCTTTAGGATGTTATGCTAAAAAGTAAAATCCATGATTTCATCAATTATTGCGAGTTATGAAGGAGAAGATTTAAAAAACAAAACACCACGTTCTCCTGTCAATAAGATGCATTGCAACATTCCTGAAATAAATAAATAAAATAAATAAATAAATGTAGAAGTCTGTCTGACACATCCAAAAGCTAATTTAACACAGTGCCACAAGTCAGATTTTAGTTATGCTTTGCTGCAATTGTAAATAAAACATCCCCCCTACAGCACGGGCATCCAAGCAAAACATAAATCTAAAGCATTGACCAGTGTGACTAGCCCTCCGTTCTTTGCTGACAGCTTCGTTTTTTTCTCTGAAAATGGCACTCAGAAGATATTTGCTTTCAATAATGTGCCCCTGTGTAACAATCCAGAGTATTGCAGCCATGCTCTTTGTCTACATCTTTCCTATTCCAGCCTATCTGCTCTATTAACATTACAATCGACGTCTCATCTTGAGTCAGCAATCATCATAGATATGGGCACAAATATCTGGTTTTGTTCTCCCTCACACAATGATTTCCATTTTTTTTTTTTTTTTACCCCATTCTGACACACTCACTCTTTCTCAGCAGCCATGCTTTCACGGCCACCCACGCAGGCATCTGTAAAAGAGCATGTGTGGTTCACAGCATTTGTGCAGTCCACGCAGGCAGAAACTGTCAGATTGAGAGACCTTAATGTGTTACATCCTCTGTGTTCTGCAGGTTCTTCATAATTGTGGGTTTTGTTGCCAGATACTTCAGGCAAATCTTTCACAACATACTCAACTCTGTTTCGTTGTTTGTCTGTTTTTTGTCTTTTTCTACTTTAGTTTATTTTGTGCAGAAAGAAAGCCAAACTTTGTCTCACCTTCCGCCTTTTTTATTCCTGCTTGATTTCTTTTCAGTGAACAGGTGAATGATTGGGACACAGAGAACAGCCTTTGCAGCTCAACCTTCTCCCATGTTGCTCCCTCCTCTCGGGGAATGGCCAAGGTCCAGGATGGACACACTAACGCATGTGAAAGGTACGGAATTTGCAAGAATATTAGTAGATCCGGATGGGCTTTTTTCCTCTGTTTCTTGGCATTATTTTAGCGATTTGCAAAAAATAACCCTGCTTTCTAAACTCAAATATTACCACTTTATGACCACTAATATTACTGTATTTTATTAGTATTAAAGTCAAATAAAAAGTCAAATAAAAAGTGGTGCACAATTGTTGAAGAAAACAAAAACAATGGCTTCTTTCCAAATTTTTATTACAGGTAAAATCTAAAATAATTTTTTTCTTTATTGCTGTAGAATAAATTATAGAGGACCACATGCTTTCAGAAGACTGATTATTAAATCAACCTGCATATAATTTAATCTCACCCTGAATAAAGCCCTTCTTTAAGGGTCTTTGAGGTTTATTAGAGGAGAAGAAGTATCATCCAGGCCAAGGAACACAGCCAAAAAGTCATAAACAATACAATTAGGGAAGTAAGATTGATTTGACAGGAAAACAATTATTTAGACATTGTCATAATCTGTTGTTTCAGACCAAAATGCAAACTGACACTTGGAAGCCACATCATAGGTTCTTGTATGAGGTAGAAGAACAGCAAAACAGATGAGATGACACGGAGACAAACTGAGAAACAGATGATAATTGACAACAAACTGAAGGCTTAAATGATGGGGAAAACAGGTGCAAACGAGAGAAGAGATGAAGAAACACAGGTGCATAATCTACCAATTAAGTGGGAGCTCTGAGAGCTCTGGATGACTATTAGAAAAAATAAACAAGGAAAAACACAAGGAGAAAACAAATAGAACCAATTCATCACTATTGTTAAAAGTAAATGTCATGATTTAACTATGGTCTGACCCAAAAAGCAGAAAAACCAATACAGAGAGAAACCAGGGGAAAGTTTTAACAGACTGTTTATTGAGGGAATTGTGAAGAATCCAGTGTTGCTCTGAACACTGCTCAACCGGAACTGGAAAGTAAGGGGAAGACACTACGCTAAGTTCAGGCTCAGTGGGAAACTTGATTCTCAAACTTGAAGAGGAGAAATACACTCACCGGCCACTTTATTAGGTACCCCATGCTAGTAACGGGTGGGACCCCCTTTTGCCTTCAGAACTGCCTCAATTCTTCGTGGCATAGATTCAACAAGGTGCTGGAAGCATTCCTCAGGGAGTTTGGTCCATATTGACATGATGGCATCACACAGTTGCCGCAGATTTGTCGGCTGCACATCCATGATGCGAATCTCCCGTTCCACCCATCCCAAAGATGCTCTGTTGGATTGAGATCTGGTGACTGTGGAGGCCATTTGAGTACAGTGAACTCATTGTCATGTTCAAGAAACCAGTCTGAGATGATTCCAGCTTTATGACATGGCGCATTATCCTGCTGAAAGTAGCCATCAGAAGTTGGGTACATTGTGGTCATAAAGGGATGGACATGGTCAGCAACAATACTCAGGTAGGCTGTGGCGTTGCAACGATGCTCAATTGGTACCAAGGGGCCCAAAGAGTGCCAAGAAAATATTCCCCACACCATGACACCACCACCACCAGCCTGAACCGTTGATACAAGGCAGGATGGATCCATGCTTTCATGTTGTAGACGCCAAATTCTGACCCTACCATCCGAATGTCGCAGCAGAAATCGAGACTCATCAGACCAGGCAACGTTTTTCCAATCTTCTATTTTCCAATTTGGATGAGCTTGTGCAAATTGTAGCCTCAGTTTCCTGTTCTTAGCTGAAAGGAGTGGCACCCGGTGTGGTCTTCTGCTGCTGTAGCCCATCTGCCTCAAAGTTCAACGTACTGTGCGTTCAGAGATGCTCTTCTGCCCACCTTGGTTGTAACGGGTGCTTATTTGAGTCACTGTTGCCCTTCTATCAGCTCGAACCAGTCTGGCCATTCTCCTCTGACCTCTGGCATCAACAAGGCATTTCCGCCCACAGAACTGCCGCTCACTGGATGTTTTTTCTTTTTCGGACCATTCTCTGTAAACCCTAGAGATGGTTGTGCGTGAAAATCCCAGTAGATCAGCAGTTTCTGAAATACTCAGACCAGCCCTTCTGGCACCAACAATCATGCCACGTTCAAAGTCACTCAAATCACCTTTCTTCCCCATACTGATGCTCGGTTTGAACTGCAGGAGATTGTCTTGACCAAGTCTACATGCCTAAATGCACTGAGTTGCCGCCATGTGATTGGCTGCTTAGAAATTAAGTGTTAACGAGCAGTTAGACAGGTGTACCTAATAAAGTGGCCGGTGAGTGTAGATTGTTGACTCAGGTTTCCAGATAAGTAGTTGACTCTTAACTCCAGTCGGTGTGGGGTGCTCCAGTGTTTGTCTCATTCGAAGGAGGGTGGACAGGGTTTACCCAGAATGCGGTTGTTTGTAGGTGAACAGAGAAACTGACTGCCACTTAGATTTCCTGCGGTACTTGAACGGGTTGTTGTGGAGATGAATCCCTTGCTCAGTGTGAAGCTCAAACGATCTCTTGGAGGAAAGTGGATCCAAACCACCAGTTTGAATCCTCAGCTCAGTTTGAAGCTCAGATGATCCTTCCAGGGAGAAAAGGTCCAGAACATCCAGTTTGCAGGATGACTTCCTGGCGAGAGGCAAAGACAAAATAACAAGGTTAAGACTCAGGTTGACAAAAACTCAGCAAAACTCAGCTTGGCTAGAGTACCCAAAACTGGCAAACACTCTGGCGTCAAGGTAGTGGCAGTCAGCAGCTAAAGAGCACTCCGTTAACGAGGTAACCCTCCGCAGGTGTGTGAGGAGGCAGACCAGAACCAGGCGCCTCCTGGTGGAGAAAGGGAGACAAACACAAAAACACAAACCACACAGACAGGAATCCTAACAGTAAATCCACACCAGCTAAAAATAATAAGTAATAAACTAGAAAACACCAGGCAAAAAGTGAACTGACCAAACAAATATGCAAATGGCAAAAATAACAGAATATTGCAAAACCTAAGAAATCAAAAGTAAACCATAATGTAAAGTGGACAGCAATCCAGTCTTTATACAAGTGTGGCAAAACCCTAATGTCCCTGAATGGAGCACAGGAAACTTTTTGAAGATATTTTCTTTGGTCAAATGAAGTCATTATGAAATGGTTTGGCCTTCATACTGAACATGGGTGAGGTTTTGCACATGACAAGGTGGCAGCATTGTATTGTGCTGATTCTTTCCTATAGCTACGAAGCTCCTAGGGAAGGTAGACGGTGGAAACTAGAGGCCAATCTGGGGGGAAAAAAACCTGTTGGAGGTTCAAAATCTATCAGGACAGCAACCCTAAGAATACCCCAGAGCTACAGCGCACGTTTTCAATTAAAATATTTGTGTGCATTAGAATAGGTGGGTTTCTATTAGCTTTTCCGAATGCACAATTTAAAGTATTGCTTTAGAAAAACTCGATGAAAACACCAAAAGATGAATAAACTCCCTTAAATTCACAAAAAAAAAGTTTTTATGAGTGCTTGAGGTGATTTTTGGCTTTTGCGCAAAAGGGTTGACGTACCACATGAGAGATTAAAAACTTTCAAATCAACTCTAACGTAGTGAACTTTACCTTCACGTGAGTGATCAGCCATTTCTGATCTAGCTGGAAGCAGCAGCACCATTACTAGCTGACATGTTGATGTAGCAACAACTGTCCCGACAGCAGCACATTGATTAAAACTGTCCTCCATCACTGATCTGTAGTCAGTGCTAGATTACAGCTTCTATGTCCTGCTACAGCCATGCGTGACGACATAAAGTGGATGATGACATAGGACGCTTTGCCCTGCTTGGTTAATTCGCTTCAAACCAAATAAAAAACACCACAAATTCTTGCTTCCTTTTTTTCTTTTTTAAAGTTGGCTTAAAATTAAAAAAAATAAGTTAAATGGAAACATGCCTGAAACATGTTAAAGCAATGGAAACATGCCTGAATCCTATTGAGAATTTGGAATGACATCTTATCTTTATAAAACCCTGCAAACAATCTATCTGAGCATGAAATGTCTAGCAAAGAAAAAATTGACAAAACATAAAGTGTTTTGGGAAAAGACTGGCAGCTGTATTTACACTAGAAGGTGCTTCTATAAATTATTGACTCAACAGGGGGGGAATCTCACACGACTCCTTTAACATCAAATATTCTGAAGATTATTGTGGCCATAAAGTGATGTGTGAATCGATCTGATATCGGTCATTAGGTATAAATTTGCTTTGGTTCTACAGCACTGACATGTTAGAGGAGAGCCAGGATGGTATGGACAGTGGAACCCTAAGTCCTCCCTCAGCTCGACAGGTTACCATCAAGCGTCACCCAACTCAAGGCTTCGGCTTCATAGCAGGCAGTCAGAGGCCTGTCATTGTTCGCTCCGTCTCTGCCGGTTAGTGGGCATCTATGTACGGGGAAAAAAAGAGATACCAGAGTACAACCAGAGGAACTCTGTCAGACAGGACTATAGTTTTTGACTGAATGGATTTTATCCACAGACGGCCCCTCCTTTGGAAAACTTCTCCCTGGAGACCAGATCTTGGCCATAAACGAAGAGACGGTGAGCGACGCTCCCCGAGAGAGAGTCATAGACCTTGTAAGGTAACATCCTTTACTGTCCCAGGAGGGAGGGTGGGAGGAGAAAAGGGGTCTTAAGGTCAAGGGACTGGCAGCGATATCAAATGGGAACAAAATCAAAATGATGACAGTAAAGACAATGGACTCAAAAGAACTACATGATGTCTTAAGGCATCAACAGCAAACCTGTGGATGACTCAGTCCTTTTGCAGCCAAAAATGAAGGCAACAAAAACTGTTCTCTGAGTGCTGCCATCTGTGTGGCTTTATCTAACCCCCTCCACTTTCTGCTGTCTCTCCACAGACGCTGCAAAGACACCATAGTGCTCAGTGTGCTGCAGCCCCATCAGGTATTACAATGGGACACTCACTCGCTTTCATCCTCTCCTCCCTCAAGATTCCTCCCAGTCTTCATCAGTCACTGCACTTTTTCCTTTCACTTTGAATCATACTGATAAACAATGTGCAGTGTTCTGTTCCAGTGGTGCACACTAATAGAGTGAGGACATACATTAGTATTCATGACCTTGCTTCTTACACTGAAGTCATTTCTTTTCCTGATAACCCCTCACAAGTACTCCAAGTGGGGACATAAACAACCACACGAGACTTTAATAAACAAGATTTCTATGTGGGTGCATCATTCCCTAAAAAAAAGTTTGATTCATCTTGCTGGGAACTTGAAGATTTTATGTGGTTTATTGTATGGAGATGAAATAAAAACATACATATGAAATATTTGATCATTGGAAGCTAGAGATATGATAGGTTTGCATAAAATTCCAAGGTTTAACCAAACATTCAAAAACAAACATGTATTTGCTGATAAAGTTTGCACCCAGTTTTTTGGCAGGTTTTAAATGCAAATCAATTTGGTACAAGTTATGACTCTTTTACAACTTTGTATATTGTTCAGTAAGGCTTTACAGAATAACCATCTTTCTCCTTTTGTCCTCAGTCACCAAAGTCTGCCTTCATAAGTGCAGCCACAAAGGCCCGCCTGCGAACCAATCCTCCTAAAGTGCGCTTTTCAGAGCAAGTGTCGATCAGCGACCCGGACTCAGTAAGTTCTAAGATTAAAATAAACGCTGTTACCTTTTTCTCCACTTCCTCCAAACCTTTTATTATTTCAGCTGCACAAAAGAACAAAATCCATCTTGCCTCCCTACTGCTACTTTAGCTGAGTGCATGAGGTGGAGACAGGGAAGTTTGGTCAACCTATTTGACACTAAATAAATAGCTTTTTGACAGACTTTGCTTTTCTCAAGAGCAACTTGTGAATCTTTCGGTGACGGTCATTACAGGACGGTATGAAAACAGTCCTGTAATGAAGGATGGGACATACTTAAAGTGCTTAAATAGAAGTAGAAAGTCACTGTACTTTTTACCAGTCATCTAAAACTGTTCTTTTGGATCATGGAGTAGGAGTTTGTGACTTATTCATTTTAGATGAAAGGATTACACTAATAATTACTGAAAGGACAGGTTGTTTGATGACCTACACAGCCTTCATGGGACTTTTTTGGGTAGTTGCCCAGGGTCTCTGCAAGGCCGTGGCATGGGTAATCAAGTTAACTGTATGCTTGTAACAGTTTAAGTCAGGTTTTTCCATACAGAGGTTTAGGTTAACTATAGTTAAGTCCTTAAAGGTTATCTTTTTGGCTTTAAATTGGCAATTATTAGTCAGCTGTAGTTGTGGGTGAGGAGTTCAAACATTGTAATGCTTTGAAAAGACTACAGAACTTTAACAAATGTCACTTAACACCTCTTTAGAAAGGAATGTAAAGCTGGAAGTTCAGCCGCATTAAGAACTTTTCAAAAATGTCCTCTTTAAAAAATCTCTCTATATATTTGTTTAGAAGTTGAGTAAAATCAATCAAAAGTACCCGTCTTTAAACTTGATTTACACTGTTTGATGGCAGTGAATTCAAGTACATGTTGAAAAGATTTAAAATCAAACGCCAAAGCTATGAAGCAATATTTTATTAAGCATTACTAATTTTGGAACATGTAAAACAAACTAAATAAGCAAGTTATTTTGTTAACTTACTTGCTTATCTTGTATAAATTCTTCAATTTGAAGTTAAATTTGCATTGACTCTTACCTCATTGAAACTTGAAGAAAGCCTGGCAGTCATCTAAAGAGACCAATATGTGGGCTGTTATTTGTTACGTTTCATAGTGTGAATGGTTGTGAAAACACCTGGGGAGGATATCAAACCTGCACTTTAGGTGTTAGAAAGAAGGAACATTATTAGCTTTCCATTTGAAGTGTAGATAGCTGCTTCCTTCCCCATTTTCCTTGCCTTTTGTAGGTTCTTTACAGTCCTTGCAGCACTGGAAGGTATATATCACACTGTGAGCTCACATTTTTATGTTTCATCCCTGTGGTAGAACAGCTTCTCTTCAAGGGGTTGTTAGCTTTAAAAATGCACTGGAATATTGTACTTGAGAAAAAACAGAAAAGACAATTTTGTCCTATTTGTTCGTGCTACTTTTTCTTTCCCTCTGCCTCATTGCTGCCAAGTTCTGATGGCTGAGAGTTAATGCTGGGTTTAACCTATGTTTTTTAAAGTAAGGTTTAAAAAAAAAGTATGATTTACCTACGTCTGAAATACATCAACATGTTAAATATCTTTACGAAAAAAAGCAGTGTTCTTTTTTTTATCTCTTATATTTGCCCTATTGCCTGAATACCCCTATTAAACTACTTTACATTTGTCTTGATTGCTACCCTCAGTTAAAGGTTCAGCACACATTTGATCTTCAGCTAAACCAGAGATGAAAATACCCTTTTAGAGATGTCAAAACCTTATAGAAAGTTGCATATGGACACACCTGAGACCTAGCTTATATACAGTCAGCACTTTATTAAATACAGGTGTCCAACTGCTTGTTAAAGCAAATCCCTATCAGCCATTCACAAGGTAGCAACTCAATGCATTTAGGCATGTAGACATGGTCAAGATGATCTGCTGCAGCTCAAACCCAGCATCAGAATTGGGAAGAAAGAAGATTTAAGTGACTTGGAACATGGTATGGTTGTTGGTGCCAGATGGGCTGGTCTGTGTATTTAAGTAACTGCTGAACTTATGGGAGTTTCATGCACAACCATCTCAAAGGTTTACACAGAGTGGTCCAAAAAAGAGAAATTATCCATTGAGCAGCAGTTATGTGGACACCAATCCCTTGTTTATGCCAGAGGTCAGAGGAGAATAGCCAGACTGGTTTGAGCTGATAGAAAGGCAGCAGTGACTCAAATAACCAATAACCAAGGTGTGCAAAAGAGCATCTCTGTATGCAAAACACATCAAACCATGAGGTGGATGGACCCGGTAGTAGAAGACCATACCTTGTGCTATTGCTTTCATCTAAGAAAAGGAAACTGAGGCTACAATCAACACAGGGTCATCAAAATTGGACAATAGAAGATTGGGAAAGTGTTTTCGCTGTGACATTCGGATGGTAGGGTCAGAATTTGGTCTAGACAGAATTATATCATGGATTGCACTGTATATTTTCTGGGGATATTTTCCCAGTACATTTTGGCCCCTTAGTACCAATTAAGCAATTGAGCAATCTCATGGCCTACTGACTTTATCCATCCCTCCATAAGCACAGTGTACCCATCTGCTAAATGCCACTTCCAGTAGGATAACGTTCTATGTCATAAAGCATGATAATCTCAGACTTGTCTCTTGAGCATGACAATCCGTTCACTGTACTCAAATAGCCTCCATGGTCACCAGATCTCAGTCCAATGGAGCTTCTTTTGGATTCGCCTTAAACTGATTCTGCGTGAAACTCTCTTGTCCAAACTCTATGAGGAATGCTTCCAGTGCATCCTTGAATCTACAGGTGCTGGTCATAAAATTAGAATATCATGAAAAAGTAGATTGATTTCAGTAATTCCATTTAAAAAGTGAAACTTGTATATTATATTCATACATTACATACAAACTCATATATTTCAGATGTTTATTTTGTTTAATTTTGATGATTACAAATGACAACAAATGAAAATCTCAAATTCATCATATCAGAAAATTTGAATATTACTGAAGACCAATAAAAACAAAGGATTTATAGAAATGTTGGCCAACTGAAAAGTATGAACATGAAAAGTATGAGCATGTACAGCACTCAGTATTTAGTTGGGCCTCCTTTGGCCTGTATTACTGCAGCAATGCGGCGTGGCATGGAGTCGATCAGTCTGTGGCACTGCTCAGGTGTTATGATAGCCCAGGTTGCTCTAATAGTGGCTTTTAGCTCTTCTGAATTGTTGGGTCTGGTGTATTGCATCTTCTTCTTCACAATACCCCATAGATTTTCTATGGGGTTAAGGTCAGGAGAGTTTGCTGGCCAATTAAGAACAGGGATACCATGGTCCTTCAACCAGGTACTGGTAGCTTTGGCACTGTGTGCAGGTGCCAAGTCCTGTTGGAAAATGAAATCTGCATCTCCAAAAAGTTGGTCAGCTGCAGGAAGCATGAAGTGCTCTAAAACTTCCTGGTATGTGGCTGCGTTGACCCTGGACCTCAGAAAACACAATGGACCAACACCAGCAGATGACATGGCACCCCAAACCATCACTGACTGTGGAAACTTTACACTGGACTTCAAGCAACGTGGATGAAGTGCCTCTCTTCTTTTCCTCCAGACTCTGGGATCTTGATTTCCAAAGGAAATGCAAAATTTACTTTCATCAGAGAACATGACTTTGGACCACTCACCAGCAGTCCAGTCCTGTTTCTCTTTAGACGCTTCTGACGCTGTCTGTGGTTCAAGAGTGGCTTGACACAAGGAATGCGACAGCAGAAACCCATGTCTTTCATACGTCTGTGTGTGGTGGTTCTTGAAGCACTCACTCCAGCTGCAGTCCACTCTTTGTGAATCTCCCCCACATTTTTGAAGGGGTTTTGTTTCACAATCCTCACCAGGGTGCGGTTATCTCTCTTGCTTGTACACTTTTTTCGACCACATCTTTTCCTTCCCTTCGCCTCTCTATTAATGTGCTTGGACACTGAGCTCTGTGAACAGCCAGCCTCTTTAGCGATGACCTTTTGTGTCTTGCCCTCCTTGTGCAAGGTGTCGATGGTCGTCTTTTGGACAACTGTCAAGTCAGCAGTCTTCCCCATGATTGTGTAGCCTATAGAACTAGACTGAAAGACCATTTAAAGGCTTTTGCAGGTGGTTTGAGTTAATTAGCTGATTAGAGTGTGGCACCAGGGGCCATCAATTTTGAACCTTTTCACAATATTCTAATTTTCTGATATGATGAATTTGAGATTTTCATTTGTTGTCATTTGTAATCATCAAAATTAAACAAAATAAACATCTGAAATATATGAGTTTGTATGTAATGTATGAATATAATATACAAGTTTCACTTTTTAAATGGAATTACTGAAATCAATCTACTTTTTCATGATATTCTAATTTTATGACCAGCACCTGTATGCTACAAAGGATTAAGACAATTCAGAATGACAATATTAGGTGTATCTAATAAAGTGGCCATTGAATCTATAGACCATTATCGTTTATCCTCAAATGCTACTCAGTTGTTGCAGCAATGATCCCAATGTAACATTAATTATCTAATGCTTAGCTATGCAGTTGCTATGTAGAGTAACTCTAGATTGAACTTTCATTCCTGTTGAGTTCTTTTATACTTTAATACAAAAATATGTATGCAATGTAAGATCAGAATAATGTACCAGGTGCTTATGTAGTGGCATACTGTGAATTCCACTCTCTTCATTCCAAAACCCTTACACTATTAACAAAAAAACAAAGGCGCACAGCAGTTCAACTCCACTGCCCTCAACATCATGACGAGACCTAATGTTTAGAAAAATGGGCTTAAAAAAAATCAAGAATCATTATTGTCATCATAAAACTGTAACAACATTTTGTGGAGACTCCTGGCTTAGAAAGCAGACACCAACAGACAAAATCAGAACATTAGTGTAAAATATAGAACACCCTAGAAGAAAAATGTGTATATAGAAAATGTAATAGTGCATCAGAGTGAGGTTGTACTTAGAATCTAGTCTCTGAAATGGGCTCGAGGCTTGTTTATATGTGACCACATGTGTGTCTCTGAAGTGAGATTGATGGGTGTGTGTGAAGGAGAGAGAATGTGGCTGGAGGGTGAGTGTTAGTCTTGCCAGGGGATGGACCTTTCACAGCTCTTTACCATGTTTCTCAGGTTAGAGGTACAAACAGGGCATAACCCAGGTGGATCCTATCTGTGTCACTGTGTCTGGTCTTCTTTTAGATTTTATACAGAGTAAACTGACCCTTATTACCTGGGTCTTTCCTATCCTGTGTCCGTTGTCGCCCCTATTTCACACTAATGGTGCATTCACATTGAACTCAAATGATGCAACCAGAGTGACTATGTATTATGTACAGGCAAATGTCATGATTAGGTTGAATATAGCTTTTTTTGTTCTTATTCACTCTGGCTTTACTATCTTTTGGCTCAGCTCCCAAAGAACAGCCGGCTCTTTTGGCACCCAAACAGCTCTCTGTTTATTATTATCTCTGATATCTTATTTTAGCTCATGTTGGCAAATATGAATGATTTGTATGTTAATATATAATTTTTTATTTAGCACTTTTACAAGAAGCATTACACGTGCCTAATTTTATGTATGTTATGAAAGAGCCACTCTTACTTTTTTAAGTTTTATTTTTATTGAAAAAAATAATAATCCACTAATCATTGGACCAAAATTCATTAAACAGATTCATTAAAAAAAAACAAAAAAGGAACCAACTTCCAACTGACTGCTGCATTTGTCCTTTTTTTCAAAATGGTATGATCTCATATCCTCACTCGGCCACTGAGCTGTCAGTCAAAACAAAGTTGCACAGCCAGCAGGGCGGAGCCACTGAGTTAGAATTGAGAAGTGAAAGTTCAAAAGTAGGAAATGGAAGTTAGAAAAAAAATGTTGTTGACATCTAAGAAAGAAATGCTTTTAAGAGTTTTTAGGGTGGCTGTTTAAAAAAGCTGGTTTAATTCATCCCTGGAAGGACTGTTTAATCATTCATTATTCTTCCCTCCTCCTTTAGCTCTAGAACTGGTCCCATATTCCTGCATATTCCATATTACTTCTCTGTCTTTGCCTGCTGTCCTCCCTTTGCTCCAGAGTGGAGCACGGTCAGCCACCTCTACCCAGGATTCTCTCTCTGCCCTGATCTCCAGCTGCTCCAGCCTAAGCTCCAGAATGATTTCTTCTGTTTTTTGGGCGTTCTTCCCCTGAATAACACTTTAAGGTCCTGGTCAGAATGAAATCCGGCTGAATCCGGCTGTAGTTTCTGGACCTTATGAACAGGGAGCATCTCTGAAGGATCTGGTGGACTAGGGACATCAACAATAGCTTTCCTTCATGGATAAAGCACAGCGACTCGCTCTGTGGAATTCTGAAAGAATCTCCTTCTATAAGATGACACAGTAAAACAAGTGTTGTGCCCTTTTGACCTTGTGAAATGTCAAGCGAACTACAGCACAGGAATGAGGCAAAAAAATCCCTGGAATCATGATCAGTGTGAAACACCATGAGAAACAGGATGCTTTCAGTCATGGCCATTAAGGAGTTTTCAAACAGCTGAGAGGAGAGATCAGCCTTCTTTAACTTCTTGAGAAGAAAGGAAGTTTAAACAAAAAGAAAAAATAGCCACTTTATTATAGTCATCGCCTTTTTCCTTATTTGCAAAAGGTAAAGCCTTCTATATGGCTAAATTATCTATAAATAGCGGGAATGATGCAAAGTTCACAAAGATGTCAAGCACCACAAATTTGACAAAGAATCTCAGATGAAAGGATTCATATTTTGGTCTACTTTGGTTGAAACTGACGGAAGAACAAAGACAGCAGTATTGCTCATCACACCCACAAAGTCACGATTCTTTAAATAATGCAACAACAGACTCTTGTGGAACCACTTTTGCTTATCTATTCATTACACCTGAATGTAACTCTGTAACTGCTCTAGGCAGACAGTACTGTTGGGTAACATGTGAGCCAAGAAAATAAGACTATTATCACTTCTTTAAAATAAATAAAAAAAAAAGGATATGGCTAAACTCCCTCTTACTTCTCACTAAACGCTGTGGTTTACAAAGGGAAGTGCTCTAACTGTTTGCAGTGTTTTCAACCAGTAACTTTAATGAGAAAAAACAGTTTACTCTCCTTCAGACTGAGCACAGAACAGCTTGTTGAGTGCTCTTTAAGTTCTTATGAGATCTGCATCTGCTAAACTTATGTTTGGAAAAAACAAAATGCATTTCTTTCAAGACATGTTTTTCTTCAAATTCAAAGCCTCTATTGTAGATAGGGTTGTCACGATACTAAACTTTTCAACTCGATACCGATACTAAGGAAAATATTCGATACTCGATACCATTTTCGATACCACAAGGAAAAAAACAAAGACTCCAAAATTCTACAGAAAATTTTCATTAATAAATAAAATACAATAAATAAATACAATAACGGTTGTATGCTGTGCACAATATTAAGCAAGCTTGATAAAAAACTTAAAAAATTAAAATTAAGTGTTCCTTCCTTGGCTATGCTTTGCACACATAACAATGACACTGGCCAAACTGGTTAAAAAACAAAAATAATTCTCAGCAGCTGCACCTATTACAAAAAAAAAAAGTCTGAAACTGAAAAGTGCACAGAATTATTCAATCACAGTGTTATGAAAGTGCATTTTCCTCTCTTCTGCACCTTAGATGAATGACTGCTTAGGTGCCACTGGTGGTGGCACTGTATCGATACTTTTAAAAATGAGTATTGTATCCGGATACAACATTTTGGTATCGATACTTTTTTGAGTTTCGATACTTTTGACAACCCTAATTGTAGATGTGCACAACACGATTTACAGATACATCCAACCCCATATATAAACATTAGTCTAGACTGAAAATAAAGATAAAGGAAGTTTAGAAAGTTACAAAAAAAAAGAAAAGTTAAGATTAGCCATGATGTGCACCATCAGTTGCAGGTATGTTCTTGTTGATTTATAATAGTTTTGAAATAAAAACAAAAAGAAAACTTGACCTGCAACTGGTCTATAATGCCTTCCTGATTATACAACCTTTCTCTGATGGTCATGACCTGCACAGTTTTCTTCAATATCCCACCTTTTAAATCAAAGAATGCAATGGATAAGCAAAAGAGGATGTTAAAAAAAAGAAATCTTAGCAAATACTTGTTAAGTCCTTCGTCTTGGCTGTATGGCACATTAAAACTCAGCTTTGTTGTATTGCCTTTGGAGGGCTGGTTTTCTTCTAATGACAAACAACTATGTATTCTTAGAACTCAGTTGCTTTGTTAGCAATGGGCATGAGGGAAAAGAAGAGAAAATAGGTTGATAGTATTAGGAGGGTTTCTTTTTCATCATTTTCAAGTAAAGAAAAACCTAACTGCCTATCAGAACTTTCTCTCTTTCTGATTGCTCTGAGGAAAGGCAGCAAGCTTGAATTTAGTCTCTCATTTATGAATCCCCTCCATCCAATTTTCTCTGCATGGCATAAATATTGAATGGGTAGGCCAGAACAAATGAATAATCCCTTCTTTGATCATAATAAAATGCATTGGGTGGCCATCTTAAAGCACTGTCTTGCCCCTGTTGATACTGACTGGCAGCCAGTTAAAGGATCTCCTTTGTTCACTTGAGGCATTGTATCTCTTCTTTTTGTTGCTTTCAAACTTCTGATGCAAAGTCATTATTCCTAATAACCTATTTAATTTGCCACATTCTTCTTTAATCTAAACAACCAATTTTTCTCCTCTAATCTCTTTTTTAGACAATGCTTAAGGACGACTCCTTGCTACTCATACCAAATGTACTGAAGGTGTTCTTGGAGAACGGACAGATTAAGTCTTTCACGTTCGACAGCCGCACCACTGTTAGGGTACGTATGAAGGCTGCTGCACTCTAGCATCACTCTGACAATGAATTACTACATATACAATGGTGTCTTTCAGAATCATGTGGAGACTTAATGTCAGCTTACTGGATTAGGGTAACTTTTTTCATTGACTTTCTTTCTGATGGTGTCTGATATGACTATTTACAAATAATGGTATACCAAAGGGCGCCCCAACAAGGCAACAAAATACAGTCCTATATATATATATATATATATATATATATATATATATATATATATATATATATATATATATATATATATATATATATATATATATATATATATATATATATATATATATATATATATATATATATATTGGGGCCTCCATACTGAAAGAACCCTGACAGCCAAAGGTAACTGTCCCAGCTCCGGGCCATATACACTATATTGCCAAAAGTATTTGCTCACCCATCCAAATTATTGGAATCAGGTGTTCCAATCACTTCCATGGCCACAGGTGTATAAATTCAAGCACCTAGGCATGCAGACTGTTTTTACAAACATTTGTGAAAGAATGGGTCGCTCTCAGGAGCTCAGTGAATTCCAGCGTGGAACTGTGATAGGATGCCACCTGTGCAACAAATCCAGTCGTGAAATTTCCTCGCTCCTAAATATTCCACAGTCAACTGTCAGCTGTATTATAAGAAAATGGAAGTGTTTGGGAACGACAGCAACTCAGCCACGAAGTGGTAGGCCACGTAAACTGACGGAGCGGGGTCAGCGGATGCTGACGCGCATAGTGCGAAGAGGTCGCCAACTTTCTGCAGAGTCAATCACTACAGACCTCCAAACTTCATGTGGCCTTCAGATTAGCTCAAGAACAGTGCGCAGAGAGCTTCATGGAATGGGTTTCCATGGTCGAGCAGCTGCATCCAAGCCATACATCACCAAGTGCAATGCAAAGCGTCGGATGCGGTGGTGTAAAGCACGCCGCCACTGGACTCTAGAGCAGTGGAGACGCGTTCTCTGGAGTGACGAATCGCGCTTCTCCATCTGGCAATCTGATGGACGGGTCTGGGTTTGGCGGTTGCCAGGAGAACGGTACTTGTCTGACTGCATTGTGCCAAGTGTAAAGTTTGGTGGAGGGGGGATTATGGTGTGGGGTTGTTTTTCAGGAGCTGGGCTTGGCCCCTTAGTTCCAGTGAAAGGAACTCTGAATGCTTCAGCATACCAAGACATTTTGGACAATTCCATGCTCCCAACTTTGTGGGAACAGTTTGGAGCTGGCCCCTTCCTCTTCCAACATGACTGTGCACCAGTGCACAAAGCAAGGTCCATAAAGACATGGATGACAGAGTCTGGTGTGGATGAACTTGACTGGCCTGCACAGAGTCCTGACCTCAACCCGATAGAACACCTTTGGGATGAATTAGAGCGGAGACTGAGAGCCAGGCCTTCTCGTCCAACATCAGTGTGCAACCTCACAAATGCGCTTCTGGAAGAATGGTCAAAAATTCCCATAAACACACTCCTAAACCTTGTGGACAGCCTTCCCAGAAGAGTTGAAGCTGTTCTAGCTGCAAAGGGTGGACCGATGTCATATTGAACCCTATGGATTAGGAACGGGATGTCACTTAAGCTCATATGTGAGTCAAGGCAGGTGAGCAAATACTTTTGGCAATATAGTGTACATAGAACCAACCTGCCAAGGGGTCTTTTTGCACATTGGTCCAAAACCGCTGTCAATCTGGATTGCAGATCGGGATGGTGGCTCTGGATTGCGGATCTAAAACGCATCTGGGACAGAGTAGGCTGGAAATAGAACCTGAGTGGTCTCTGACATTAATAAACTAACAACAAATCTGTTCCAGTCCACATTTGTCTAGGTCTAAATATGCCAAAAGTAAAATAAAAACAAAGTTTGTTGATCTAGAAACTGTATTTCAATGTAAATTAAAAACAAATCTACAGTGATTAATTAAAAACTTACAATGAAAAACAATGCATTGAAACCTTAATATAAACAACAATCTCAGTGTCCTTGAGTTAGTTTGAAACAGTCAGTTATAGTCAAGAAAAGGGGTTTGCAATAAAACAAATAACCAAAAAGGGGAAAATATTTCTACTGTCTTACCATTAGCAGCTAGCATTAAAGCCAGCACAATAATATGGAACAACGAGGCTATTTCAGTTAAATTTTTTTGCAGGCGTCCTACAACACTTTTTAATGGACACCCTGCAACCTATCAGAATCAAGTATTTCCAGGGATAACAATATAATCAGGATTATTCTACACTAAACACTAGAATGAAATATTTCATGATATTTTAATAGGAGTTTTCTTATTTTCAGAACCTGCTTAGACTGGAACACACAATGCTTTGCATTGCTAAGTCTAAACTTATTTTACTACAGTCAGGGTGCTTTTTTTTTATTAGTATTTTACCAAACTCTTTTGGGGTTTTTCCAATTGGGATTTTGTCAGAGTCTGTATGAGAATAGTTGATCTCTGGAATGAGCTATCTGAAAGGGGCTCACCCAGCACATTATTAATGCAAGAATCATCACTGGCCTTTCTCATTTGGCTGTGACTACTCCGCCTAACATGAAGGGTAGACAGAATTAACGTCAAGCTAATAGTAATGACTGAGTATTTAGCTTTAAGAAAATTATAATAGATTTATTATGTGGTGTTGAATTTCAAAAATATAAATTGAAGCATGAATAAATGCTCTAGAGACGCTATATCAAGATTTCATTTGCAGTTATCTCCACCATTACTCTTTATGACAAAAATATTTTCTTTAAAAACAACCTAAGTCATTGATTTAATAAAATAAATTTTTTATGTCATACATTTCTATACTGTATATCTAGTGCTATGAAATTATAATCTGTAACTGTTTTGAAAAAATGCAGTAAAATATCAGCTTTTTTCATCCTCTCTTTTTCCTTAACATAAAATACCCCTATTGCATTTAACAGTTTAAATTGGTTAATTAATTTTGTAAGCCAGGGGTAATGTTTATTTCTGTTTCAGCCTCTAAGATGAGCTTGACATTATGTATTAGACTTATTAAATGTGCTCTATTAGATTTCACAAATCCCTCCCTGTGCTCATAAAGAGTGGGAGAGAGAAACACAGGGGCACTTTTAAGGAAAGATGGATGATGTTCTCTCCTGTCAGTCTAATTAAATGGAATTTCAGCATAATAAGAAAGCCAAGATCAATATTGCAGTGCCACAGATTGAATCAGTGGTACGACAGGATAACCAGTTTTCTGCCGATTTCCCTGTCCTGCCTTCTTGTGAGACTTTCACTTGATTGTGAGTCTTTCTGAAGTATGATTTAAAGAAAACCAGACTTGTCGATACTGTTCAAAGACTCTTCAAAGAAACATGTTCAAATAAAAGTTTTCTTTCGCTCCAAATGAAGCTCTGTATTGACTTTCACGGCTAAATTATGGCAACATATCATAATCCTTAAAAAATGTTCTCATTTCATTTGGCTTAAATAAAGCTGGCACAAGGAACATCAAAAACTCTTTTTCTAGGCAAAGCCCACTACCACATATGATAAGCACTGATATTTTTTTTAGATACCTGAGACAATTCCTCCACAAATATGATAAGCATCGAGTTTTTTTTTCACACTGTACTCTGCATCTTTCACAGATAATGATCTACAAAAGAGAACAAGATTTTTGCCATGGACAAACCATCCCAGAGATATAATTTCCTTGAAATAGATCTATTCACGCTATAGAATAAAGAAATTATATAAAAGAAATATGTTGCTCAAGGCAGAGATGCATAAGAACAGCATAAAGATATAAAAGAGTAAATGCAGCCTGAAAGGATATCAGTTTGATAAACTGCGCCTCATATTGTGGTGAACGGGATGGATTTCAGCTGGAAATGGTTTCCATGGATCAATTCATTTTTGTTGTGGTGTAAATGTGATTTATCTCTAAAAATGCATTCTACTTCCATCTGTTTCCTTTCAGGATGTGATCTCCTCCCTGCAGGACCGCCTCTCTTTGCGCTACATTGAGCACTTTGCTTTGGTGCTGGAGGCAGGTGGGCTGGACCAGAATCAGAAGTTGCATCTGCTGCAGGAGAATCAGCCACTGACACACGTAAGAATCCATCTCGAATGACCCCAAGAGGTGTGCAATAAAAAAAAAAAGCTTGAATTATGCAGCATGGAGACTTGACCAAAGCGACAGGAGGCCCTCAACTGTATTTGCTGTGTAAAATACGACAAGACAAAAAATGGGTCATTCAGAAAAACATCACAAGAAATGATTACAAAGAAAAAGCTAAAAAAAAAAACTAAATATGTAAACATTAGCTGTTGAGAAAATGATAGCAAAAAGAAGTCTTGTTTGCAGTTCTCAAGCAATGGAACACAGAAAATACATGGGAAAAGATGTCAGGTCAGGCAGAGCCAGAGTTTGAGATATTAAAAAAAAAAAAATCAGAAAAATCTCTCTCTAATCATCTAAATGCACAGCATGGAGCATTTCTTTACATACAGAAATATTGACTTTTTCAAGGATTGACAGGAAACCCTAGATGGTAAAAAACCTTTCAATAAAAAACAAGTACCCCTGGAGCCAGTTAGCCTAAGCGGCTAGTCTACATCCTCTAGCTGCTGTGATGAACTAACCAAACTACTACTAAAAAAATAAACTCAACAAGAGCACACAATCACAATTACTGCTGATATCCTGTTAGTAAAAGACTGTTTGTGACGCATAGAGAAGATTATCCATGTAATAAAAACAACCCATTTATCAAAACAGCCGAGGATACAAAGGATAGCTGCAGAAGTCCTGCAAGAAGTCCAACACTGTAAAGTCATGTCAAGCTCTTACCTTTAAAGCTTTGTAACCGTCAAGAGGTATTAATCAACTCTTCAGTTTAAGGTGTGTAAATGGTAAATTGCCTGTACTTATATGGAGCTTTTTTCAAGTCAGGAGACATGACAAAATCACTTTACACTACATTTAGTAATTTACTCATTCACTCACACACTGATGGTGGCAAACTACATTGCAGCCACACCTGCACTGACAGAAGCGAGGCCACACACTGGCGCCACCCGGCCCTGACCACCACAGACAATGCAGGTGAAGTGTCTTGCACAACGATAAAGCCGGAGCCAGTGCTTGAACTGTCAACCATTTGATTTCAGGCAAACTCCTACATCCGATGCCACTGTCGCCATGTGGAGAAGGCTTGTTGTTGTGAAGCACTCCTCTTTGAAATGCTCACACAGTTATTTCCCCAAATGACATCATAAAGGCCATACTTTAAAAACATAGCATTTTAAGCACACATTAACTAAGTGGTGGAACAAGACAGTGAGAGAGGGGACCTCAGGACACATATGACTGTAAAAAAAAGTTTTTAAAGGGAATTTTGCATAATATGGGAACTTTAAATGAGTACCTGTTGAATCCAATGAGCCCAAACTTTACAACTTGGTACAAGTTTAAAGCTTATTTGCTGATGAGAGGTTTTAGGAGCTTGATGCTGCTGGGAAAAGGTTTCTGAAATATCAAAACAAGTCAAAAGAATTCTAAACATTAAATTGATAGTTTGTAAATAGAATCATGTAGATGTATAATCTATCCTACTTTTCTCCAGGGGGGCTATAAATTCAAAATAAACTTATACAAAAAAACAATCAAATGTATATTAAGTTATAACTTATATATAAAAACTATTTGTTTTCTGAGAATGTGTTTATTTAAGAGCAACTATGCAAATTAACAAACAAACAAACACCTAGAAAATGTACACTTGTTATTTTCCATGGGAATTCCAGATTGTTCATGCTTCTTTTCCTTTTCTAAAAAGTACTTAAAATCAGTCATACCTGTCTTAATCCATGCTGGGTCAGATCATGATGTTTGAAAAAGAGAGAGTAGAAAGGTTAGGTAAAGCACAATAAAGCGTTAGCCTCGCTGCATGCAGTTATTCAAGCCTTGTAGCTAAACCGGGTCCTGGAAAAAGACAGAGTGTACTGTCTCCATCTTTCTTTGAACTGCTGAATAATTTTCATGTTCAGCCGATTAGGTCCAAATGCTTTCACCTCCAGCTTCTCTTGGTAAGTTTGCTTTAAGGGACTGCACTTCCACTATTCGACCTGTCAATCAGCCTCACTACAACTGTGACTATAGCTGCGCCCCAAGCTCCCCTATCCTTTTGCATTGCAGAGGTGCTTCTGCGCATGTACAACTTTTAACCAGAGTCTATGGCCAAAGAGTTGGAAATCCGTCAACAATCCAATGAAGAAAGAAACAGCTTTACTCGTCATTAAAGATTAAATATACACATCTAAAAATATATTAATATACATTTTGAAATATTTTAATTTTATAATTTCATTTTAATTTGTTTTTTTTTTATGTCTTAATCAAGGTCATTGGGTGAGTCGGTGGGGCGGCGCCCTAACTCTCTCTATTGACCAGCCGCCACTGACTAGAACATAATGATAAATATCCAATTCATTCAAAAAATATATATATTCAGATCTATCAGGTATGGGCATAAAGGACAGTAAAGGTATCTTTAACTGTTTAACATAATCCAATTCTAGCAGCCAAAAGTTTAATGTATGGAACCTGAAATATTGAAGTGAGGTGGACAGGGGAGGTGTGGCCCAATTGTTGAAAAACGCATACTAGCGTGCCCTCTTTTGAGCCAAAACTTTTATTAAAGTGCCCTTTTGGGAGCCAAAATGCATTCTAATGTTTCCTCTTGGGAGCCAAATTGTGTGCACCCTCTTGGGGGCCAAAATACATGCTAATGTGCCCGCTATAGTGATGAGGACACTCTATAAATACTCTTTTTTCTTCCACTCCTTTCCCTTAAAAAATTCGGTGCCCACCGTTGTTGCAGCCTACCAAATATTCCATCTGAGAAGTGTTTTGACACTAAAAGGGTCTAGGTCTAAATCAAAGCATATTGATTTGGTAAAGAGGCCAAGTCAAACTGATATGACTAGCTCAAAAACCAAAAAACAAAAGAAAATCAAAAGCATGCATGGATTTTCTTCCACTTAAAAATGAGGACCTCTTTGTGTCATCACATATCACTCCAGTCATGTACGCATTTCACTGATTAATTTATGCCTTTACTTCCCTTTACAGTTTAGTACATTAATTATCAGAAAAGTAGCACAGAAATAACTCACTGTGTCCTTGCAAAGAAAAAAAAACGCTGCATTCAGAAATCAAGCCTTTACACTTCAGAAAATATCATCCGATACTATGTGACTAAAGATGTTGCTGTTATCTAACTGATGGATTCCTGTTCCCCCAGGTGGTGCACAGAACCTATTTCCAGGGGATGAAGTGTCTGTTCCGTGTGTGCTTCTTCCCCAAGGACCCCGCAGACCTGTTAAGAAGGGACCCTGCTGCATTTGAGTACCTCTATATACAGGTAAAGTACTGGATTATCATGGGATTTAAACAGATAGCACTCAGTCTTATAGCAGTGTTGGACAGTTGTCTCTTTGATGTGCAGTTGGTGCCAAGAGGGAGCTGACGCTTTGAGATCTTTTTTTCAGTTAGCTACTGGATTATGTATGCCTTTGTTTCATTTCCACCATGATGGAAGAAAGAGATAAAAAGCAATCATAAGATAAATGTTTTGTTGTGAGCTCTTTTAATCATTGTAATAAATGCACATATTTCATTATTCAAGTATATTTAATAAAGGAATTGTTCACATGTTTTCTGTTAAGTGGTTATGGTCAGATAATACTTTAACTGCAAATACTTGTCTTTTTAAAATGAGTCTGAAATGTAGATTGGGGGGGGGGGGGGGGGGGGGGGGGGATTTGGAAACACCTATCAACTGTACTCTGTTTGCATTCCACAGCCTATTCAAATATTATTGCTAACAATTTCTGCCCTTCTTTGATCCCAATGTAACCACCTTTTAATGGATGCTTTCAGGAAGAAACTGCAACATGTCACAAAGCACAAATTACCTCAAAAAGGTTTATTCAACATTAGAATTAGTTCGCTATAGACCAATGGTCTGCAAAGCGCCCAGATTTCAATCCAAAAGTCTTCTTTAAGATATGGGTGGTACAATGGGTAAACCCATACTAGGAGAATCTCTGAGGAATATCTCAAGTACTTTGGGAAATCTATGTCTATTGAGGGGGTTTCTAAATCAAAAATGACGCATTAAGTACTACCAAGATCAGAGCTAGACAATGAACTGCATTGCATTACAATTTAACACAATTTGCAATTTTCAAATGACGGCCCTCCCTCCAACCCTTTAGGTGGCAGTAACATGTTTAAGATGGGTTTGCCAGCACTCAGAAAGGTAGAGAGAGTTGCAGCTAACATGCAGATCCATACTTGCAAGTAGAAGTAATCCTTTTTTCACACAAAAGTTACAGTAACGTCTTGCAATAATGTACTCTAGACAAGCAACTTTTTAATATCACAAAATAATGTAAACCCTGGTGTGAAACATCTAAAACCTTGGGGTTAATGCAAAGAAATACCGAAACAATATTTCAATATTTGTTTAAAATAACTGAAATTTGGAGAAGTTGATCAGCCCTTACGAGAATGTACCTAGTAGAGTGTCTGATGAGTTTATGTAAATTTCCTTTTAATGGACTCATGGTTGTTGTGCACAGGTTTATAAAGCAGACTTCACATAATCCGCTGTGAGACAATTACTTAAATTTATATATGTGCACTTTTAAGTTAGCTAACAGGCTTAAATAAAAATTATGAGTTTTTTTTTTGACATCAGGTAACAAACTGACTCCTCATTAACCCGAACCAAAAAATCTACTCTGTTAATTTAATTCAATTCAATTCAGTTTATTTATATAGCGCCAAATTCACAACACATGTCATCTCAAGGCACTTTACAGTTCAACCAGATCATACAGTCAAATCGATACAAAGTTTTCTATCTAAGGAAAACCAGTTGATTGCATTGACTCATTGACTCAAATACAATCCCCCACACTAAGCATGCTTGTAGCGACAGTGGAGAGGAAAAACTCCCTTTTAACAGGAAGAAACCTCCAGCAGAACCAGGCTCAGTGTGAGCGGCCATCTGCCGAGGCCGACTGGGGTTCAAGGAGACAGAAGCAGAGATACAAAAAGCAGCTGTAAAAGGCGGCCCCGTCCAGGAAACACACAGACAGGCAGACGAGCTCCAAGGCAGCTCCCATGCCAGAGGACGAAGAGAGCACATCCACTCAGTCATGGTCAGAGAAACAGTACCACACTGGAAAACAGGCCGATCTCCAACATCTATAAACAAGGGTGTTGATAGAAGCAGCACAGCTGATGTTTCTTTCCAGGATGACGTCACAGCCAAACAGGAACAGACGAGGCAAAGCTACTCTGAGGAAAAGCAGAGAGAGCAGAAGGTTAGAGATTGAACTAACAGATTCTGCAGAATAGGAGAACAGAGAGAGAATGAAGCAGAATGATGAAATGGGGGTCCCTATGTCCTCCAAAAGTCTAAGCCTATAGCAGCATAACTATAGAGATAGCTCAGGATAACCTGAGCCACCCTAACTATAAGCTTTATCAAAAATGAAAGTTTTAAGCCTAGCCTTAAAAGTAGACAGGGTGTCTGCCTCACGGACTAAAACTGGTAGTTGGTTCCACAGGAGAGGAGCCTGATAACTAAAAGATCTGCCTCCCATTCTACTTTTAGAAATTCTAGGAACCACTAGTAAACCTGCAGATTGAGAGGGAATTCACTGCAAAAAATATAAACCTCAATAAGTTATTTTTTCTTAAAATAAGTGTGTTTTTCCTTGATTTGAGGAGGTAAAACAGACACTTTGCCAATGGAACAAGACAATTTCCTTTTAAAATAAGAAAAAACTATTTTATCGTCTTATTTCAAGTAAATATTATCTAACTATCTTATTTTAAGAGTGAAAATACTCATTCCATTGGCAAATCATCTTATTTACCTGCTCAAATTAAGGCTAAATATACTTAATTTAAGCAATTTTTTACTTATTTCTGGATTGTTTTTGCAGTGAAGTGCTCTGTTAGGAACATAAGGAACAATCAGATCTCTGATATAAGATGGAGCTTGGCCATTTAAGGCTTTATACGTGAGAAGGAGGATTTTAAATTCTATTCTTGATTTAACAGGAAGCCAATGAAGAGAAGCCAGGATAGGAGAGATATGATCTCTCTTTTTCATTTTCATTAGAACTCTGGCTGCAGCATTTTGGATCAGCTGAAGGCTTTTAACTACAGTTTGTGGACTTCCTGATAGTAAAGAATTACAATAGTCCAGCCTTGAAGTAACAAATGCATGGACTAGTTTCTCAGCATCACCCCTGGACAGGATATTTCTAATTTTTGCAATGTTCCTCAGATGAAAGAAGGAAATTCTAGAAACCTCTTTGATATGGGATTTAAATGACAGGTCCTGATCAAAAATAACACCAAGATTTTTTACTTTATTATCTGAAATCAGTTTAATCCCATCCAAATGAAGTGACTGGCTAATCAGTTTCTTTTTCAGAGACTCTGGTCCAAAGACTATAACTTCTGTTTTGTCTGCATTCAGAAGCAGAAAGTTAAGAGTCATCCAGGTTTTTATGTCTTCAAGACATGCCTGTAATCTATGTAATGGGTTAGCTTCATCTGGAAATTAATCCCATGCTGTCTAATAATTCTACCAATTGGGAGCATGTATAAAGTAAAGAGAATTGGTCCTAGCACTGATCCCTGTGGTACTCCACAGGTAACCTTTGAGCGTGTTGAAGATCTATCATTAACATGAACAAACTGAATTCGATCAGATAGATAAGATTTAAACCAGTCTAGTGCTGTTCCTTTAATTCCAACAAAATATTCAAGTCTTTCTAAAAGAATATTATGGTCAACTGTATCAAATGCAGCACTAAGATCCAACAGGACGAGCACAGATACAAGTCCATTATCTGAGGCCATGAGAATATCATTAGTGACTTTCACCAGAGCTGTTTCAGTGCTATGATGAGCTCTAAAGCCAGACTGAAACTCTTCAAAAAGTTCATTATGATGTAAGTGACCGCACACTTGTTTGGCAACTACTTTCTCAAGAATTTTGGATAAGAAAGGAAGATTGGATATAGGTCTATAATTGACCAAGTCATCTGGGTCAAGAGACGGTTTCTTAAGCAGAGGTTTAATTACAGCAACCTTAAAAGCTTTAGGTACATATCCCTGTAACAGAGATAGATTAATCACATCTAAAATGGAGGAGGAGATCAAAGGGAATACCTCCTTAAATAACCTGGTTGGAACTGGATCTAACATACAAGTTGAAGGCTTAGATGAAGACAATAATTTTGCTAATTCAGAAAGTTCAACTGGATCAAAGCAGTCTAAACCCGGTTCAGATTCCATGACTACCTCAGGTACAATCACGGATAGAGGAGTGCTTATGATCTTATTTTTAATAAGATCAATCTTATTTATAAAGAATCCCATAAAATCATTGCTGCTAAGAGCAGGTGGAATGGACGGTTCAACAGAGCTATGGCTCTGGGTGAGTTTGGCAACTGTATTAAAAAGAAATCTAGGATTATTCTCATTCTCCTCTATTAATGAGGAGAAGTATGCTGCTCTTGCTTTACAAAGGGTCCTCTTATACAGCAGTAAACCATTTTTCCAGACTAGGAAGGACTCTCGCAGGCCTGTGGAGCGATATTTTCTCTCCAGTTTCCTAGCATTTTGCTTCAAAGTACGCAGCTCTGCATTAAACCAAGGAGCAAGCTTTCTATTTTTAACGGTTTTCATTTTCAAAGGAGCTGCGTTGTCTAAGGCAATACGCAGAGAACTAGCAACCCCATCAACAAAATCATCAACCTGTGAAGGGGAATAAGCTAAGCTTTTGCACTCTGCAGCACTGTTCAGCGACACAGAGGAGAGAGAAAGTGAAGCAGATTCTTTAAAATTTATAACTGCACTATCTGATAAAGATCTACTACAATTGAACCTTCTTTTGGGGGAGGAGAACTCTGTTAAAGTAATCCTGAAGGTTATTAGAAAGTGGTCAGAGAGGACAGGGTTGTGAGGAAATACTGTTATTTCTTCACATTCTATGCCGTATATCAGCACAAGATCCAAAGTATGAAGATGATAATGCGTGGGACCACTCACACTCTGAACAAAGCCAATAGTGTCTAAGATAGCATTAAAGGCTGCTCTTAAGCTATCGCCTTCAATGTCAGCATGGATTTTAAAATCTCCCACTATGATGACCCTGTCAGTATTTAATACCAAATCAGAAAGGAACTCTGAAAACTCATCTAAAAATTCAGAGTAAGGACCTGGTGGACGATACAAAGTTACAAAAAGAAGAGGTTTTCTTGCCTTGAAATTTGGATCAGGGAAATTAAGGGTTAAATGTTCAAAAGAGTTGTAGGTATTAATTGTTTTGGGAGTAATCAGTAAGTCAGACTGGAAGATTGTTGCTACTCCTCCTCCTCGCCCAGAACTTCTGGGTATGTGAAAATTTAAATAGCTTGAAGGAGTTGCCTCATTTATGCTCACATAATCCTCTTGCTGCAGCCAGGTTTCTGTAAGGCAAAACAAGTCAATGTGATTATCACAAATCAAGTCATTAACTAGTAGACTTTTAGAGGAAAGCGATCTTATGTTAAACAGACCGCATTTAATTGTTTTAACTTTTTCCCCAATTGGAGTTATTTTGATTTTAATTAGATTATCATGATTTACTCCTTTGGGAATCTTTGCTAATTTATTAGATTTTGGTCGTGGGCAAGACACTGTCTGGATGGAGTAAAGAGTGGGTAACAGTAGAGAAGCTGCAGAGATGTGTGTTAAACTACAACTACAACTCTGCTTCCTGGTCTGCACCCTGGGTGGTCAGGGTTTTGGAGGACTAATAAATGTGGCCAGATTCCTAGAAAGAAGAGCTGCACCATCCAAAGTGGGATGGATGCCGTCTCTCCGAATCAGACCAGGCTTTCCCCAAAAGGATTGCCAATTATTAATGTAGCCCACGTTGTTTTCAGGACACCACCTAGACAACCAGCGGTTGAATGACGACATGCGGCTAAACATGTCATCACTGGTCAGATCAGGGAGGGGACCAGAGAAAATTACGGAGTCCGACATTTTTTTGGCAAACTTACACACCGAAGCAACACTAATTTTAGTGACCTCCGATCGGCGTAACCGGGTGTCATTACCACCAGCGTGAATAACAATCTTACTGTATTTAACCTTATCCTTAGCCAGTAGTTTCAGGTAGGATTTGATGTCGCCCGTTCTGGCCCCCGGCAAACATTTGACTATGGTCCCTGGTGTCTCTAATGCCACGTTTCTGACTATGGAGCTGCCAATCACCAGAGTGGGCTTCTCAGTGGATGTGTCACTGAGTGGGGAAAACCGGTTAGAAACGTGAACGGGTTGGTGGTGACCAGTGGGCAGAGATCCACGACTACGCTTTCTGCGTACAATTACCCAATCGCCTGGCTGCTCAGGCACTTTTGGAGGACAGCTACGTGGGGGGCCTACTTTAACTCCTGGATGTTCAACAGCCTGAAGCCTGGATTCTAACTCTGAATTCAATTACAAAGAGAAATTCAGTTTCATGCCATGGGTCAGTCAAAGTTTTAAGGGGAGTCCTAATTTCCGAAGTAGTTGTTTGAGGCCTTTTATTATGTTCTCACAGAGTCGCAATGATGTTATCAAGGAGCGCTTTAGCATGGACTGGAAATCTGACGTCATGTTGCGACTGGCCGCGCTCCATATCTACATCACTGTGTCTTCTGCAAGGCCTAATCAGAAGATTTCGCTCAAACATGTTGAGTAAGTCTACAAATCAGCTCTGTTAATGCCTCTTTCTAGCATATCCATGTGCCCCACTGTAAAGTCTGCTCATTCAATGTCTAAATGATTAATAATTGATTCTAAAAAGTATTAAAATTTCTAATTATTCAAGGCCCATTTTCCCTAGGTAGTTATCCATCACAAAATCCATTGCTTTGTGAAATTAGATCCGACTAAATTTCACCATTTATTTTTCCAAACCTCAACTTAGTAAGTAATTAGTTACTGCTATCATAAGCACAGTAGCATATCAGATTTGCCACGCTTGTAATAGACTTAAACTTACAATAAGAAGCCAGGGGTTAAGAAGGATGTAACTTACTCTCATGGTGCTTTCCCATGGGATGGAAGAGCGGTTTATTTATTTTTGTGCCACCTATTCTTTACAATATTTTCTCCTTTGCATATTTCATTCTACCACTTTCGTCTCTCTTCTCTTGGTCACAGAAAAGAGTGGGGGCTAGAACCTTTTCTCCCACTCACTCTACTTCCCACAATGAAGGAAAAGAATGTGTGTAAATCTCTGTCTCAGCTGCTGAAGACATACCAACATCCACCTCCATCGGGGAATAAGGTGACTGTTTAAAAAAAATAGATTGGAACAATTCTTTGATTTTTAAACTGAAAAAAATAAATCCAAGGTGACACATACTTGATTGCAATTAGCATAATTTCTACATACATTGCTGATTATGTTGAAATGCACTTTTTGTTGTTGTTGCTGTTCTTTGCCTGAGCCTGATTGCTCTTTACCCTTGCACATTTGCACAGTGCATACAATTTTGCTTACCATACTTGTGGCTCAACATTGCCCCCATGAGTATATAGAAAGTAGAGCAGCTGGATTTCACTTTGACAGCTGAGCTTTTTCTAATTATCACTATGCTAACAGGTTCCTCCACTCCAAGGAAAGCTACAGTACATGCGAATACTCAACGACCTTCCACCATTTGGTGGAATACTGTTTCACACTGTGGGACTGGTAATACATTTTGAAATATTTGTACTTAAGAATAATAATGAATCACTTACCAAGTTCAATTTTGTTTTTGTTTATTTACTACAAGCCTTTTGGCCAATTTGTCACATTTACACCTACACTGGGAAAACATTTTAGAAATAAGTAAGAACTTTCTTAAATTAAGTGTATTTACCCTTAATTTGAGTAGGTAAATGAGCTAGTTTGCCAATGGAATGAGTATTTCTACTCTTAAAATAAGATAATTAGATAATATACACTTAAAATAGGACAAAGCAATTGTCTTTTTCTAATTTTAAGTGTAAATTGTCTTGTTTCATTGGCAAAATGACTCTTTTACCTCCTCAATCCAAGAACAAATGCACATATTTTAAGAAAAAATTACTTATCTAGATTTAGATTTTTTTCCAGTGTACAAGGCATTTTATAATACGTACAATTCCATAGAATAATTTAAAGCATATCATGTGTAGAAACCTGATATTAAACCTTTTGCACTCTGTTACAGGATGAAAAACAGTCTGCTACAACATTACTGGTGGGGCCTCGACATGGCATCAGTCATGTAATTGACCTGAAAAACAACCTCACAACGGTTCTGGTTGAATTTAGCAGGATTTCCAAGGTGCAGCTTTACAGAGAGAGTCAAGGAGTGGCCCGTGTTGAAATATCAATCCATGAGGCCAAGGTAATTCTGCCTTTAAGGGTTTATGCTACAATTAAATACATTTAATTTAAATGTTTTTCCCAATTAAGTTAACTATTACTTTAGAGCTGTGTATCTAAAGAATATATTTTTTCATTAAAAAATATATTCTGTGTCAGTACATAAGGAATATTACATGACAATATTTACTTAAATGCTTAAATTTGAAAATATTAACAATAAGAAAGAAGTAAGATCCAGAATCCCGACACAAAAATCTAAATTAGCCACTGAAAATCTACATCTCTGATTTGACAATTTGTTTTTGCATCAAATCTTTTTTTGTCACTTGATCTACAGGTTTGAAAGTAAAACGTGGAGAAACGCATTGTTGTTACCTTGATAACTGAATGCCTAGTTTGGATTTCTAGGAATATCACTCAGCAAGTCTCACTGGTTTTAGATTATAGGTTAAATTAATTATAGGTTTCTGTATTTTATAAATGTTTGATTTGAATCACAATGTTCTTAAACAACTAAGTGTTTTTGATGGTAATGACCTATTGATGGCTTTGCCATATGATTGATACCCATATTTCTCCTCAGAACCACTAAAAAGCGTATACAATTTGAGCATCATAGCGCTGTTTTTTGTAACTTTTTTGTCAAGATTCTTGTAATGTAATCCCTCTTCATTTACCTCTCTACCATTACCTTACAGCCTCTGGTTTTACTCATGGAATGGCCTGATGCCAGTAACTTTGCGTGCCTCATCTCTGGCTACTATAAGCTATTTGTAGACCCTAAACGAACCATCTATGTTCGAAACTTTGGTCAAGCTCAGCTGACCAAACCAGGTAAATATAATTATTTGTTTTATGCAAGTAATATTTATCAGATACACATATACAGTAAATTTGTTGAACAAAGACTAATCAAATATGTAAATGTAGATCAATAAAAGAGACTTGATAATTGAAGTGTAAATTGTGAATTAGTGAAAATGACTTTACTCTAGCTTTTTATTAGATACTGTCTGGAATTATCAGCCTTTTGTGGAAGTCTACATGAACACTGACACTGCTTCATCACTGAATGACGTCATTTTTACCAACCTGGTTTCCACATCTCATGGCGCCCTCTGCTGTCACTTTCTCTCATCCTCATTCTTACTCATTCGACTGGAATGCCATTTTGCTTTTCCCAAGACAGAGTGACATAAACTCCGCTTTTTGATGTTATCATAAACTTTAAGTGATGAATCATGAACAGATCTTCAGCTTTGCTTTGCTGCATCAGTCTGTAGTCTACATTAAAGAAGAGTCTTGCCATCTTATCATGACATTACACCAGAATTTAACCCTCAAACCTTAAACAAATTTCAGCCTAACATTCATCTCTGAATTAGATATTCCCCATCTGACTACAAGCTGTTGCCTTTTCTTGTCCATCTGGATCTTCTATATATCGCCACTAGTTCTTAATACCTCAAACTGTCCACTGCTCTGACCATTCTATCCTTAGATTACAGAAGTTCCCACCATCCTCACCCACGAGCTGGGGCAGCTGGATTGCAAAGTGGAGGGCGGCGAGGGGAGGAGAGGGAAAGTTCGCACAGAGAGTCAGGAAGTTCAAGACCTATGGTTCCTGCAGAACCTCAACATCTAGGCTTGTGTCACGTCCACCTTAGAGAGCAGCAGCAATTTCAGGAGCTCCAAGTGCACCAAGAAGCTGAACTTGACATCAACGATAACTTTATTTCTCATGAGCCCCCTGGTCGAGCCCGTACCAAATCAGATCCCACACAGGAGAGTACAGAGGAAATAGCTGGGGTTTTAGAGAGCCCAGCTGTGGAGAACACGGGATTTCGAGTGAGAGCCCAAACAATGGGTCAATCAAAGAAAACCTCAAGGTACTTCTGTGACTCCTGCAAAGCCAGGCTGAGGGCCGAGGGTCACACAGCGGTTGCAAACAGCAGTGGGAGCTCTGGGCGTCATTGCTCCAGTGCCTGTGCCTCTCGAGATGGAGGCGCTGTGGACCTCATGGCTCTCCCACCTCCTGGAAATGAAGAAGAGGAGGAGGCAGACAATGGCGGTGAAAAATTGCAACCACCACCACCAGCTATTGCTGCACCACCACCTGGCTTCAGGGATAATAGTTCTGATGAGGATGATCCAAAGAGAGCAAAGAAGGCACGATCAAGCGCTAGTGTTGAGGTTGCCACAGGAAAACTCACACAGACTAAAGAAGATGTGCCTGTGACACTGATTGATAACGTAGCCACAAGAACCGTTCGAGATCATGCCCAGGAGCTCGATGATGCTCTGGTGTCCACCTTGCAGGCGCTTGAGGCTTTGGCAGCCTCCGAGGACTACCCACATCACCCTCAACAACCAACACAGACTGCAGGTCAACAGCCTCAGTCATACTACTGCTCACACTTCACTTATAACATAATTTTACCAATCAGACAGATATCAAAATTTTAATTACATTGTATTACTGATTTTCCCCATGCATCTAATATTTGTCGTCAACATTATACTAAAAGTTTGGTCCAAAATTAAGATAACTTAAAGTTTAAAAAACTGCAACCTTGTCTTATGATGTATTTATCTAAAAAAAAAAGATTTTTTATAACAGAGTGAGTTTTGAAATTATCAAAGGCACAATCATTTCATATATTACCAAAGTAGGTTAAACCAATTCGTAGTCATTAGATGAATAGTAAATTGATGTAAACCTATCCCACTGGTACATTGGTAAGTCTGCAAATGTCCTACAAATTTGAGCCTCAACTACATGCTAAAGATAAAGCTACTACAAATTCATTTGTTCCATTTGTGACCCACATTCATATATTTCTGTAAAATGTATTCCTTGGTTATACTAACTGTGTACTTTGTTGGTGTCCTCCTCAGGTTTGATTGTTTTAGCTGCAATAACACCTGAGTCATCATTGGATTCAGGTCATGAGACCAACTCCTCTGAGTTGACAGATGTCTCGGAGATGGTGTCAGCAATGAAGCAAAACCAGAACCAGGCATATCTCCTAGCTCACCATATCAACAAGGAGCGTATTCTCTGCCGTCGTGACTTTCCCATGGCTATTCCTGGTTGCACAGCAAAAGCCATAGGGACTGGAGCCTTCACTGTGGGTCAGATCCGTGCTGGTTGCCCACCAAAGCAAGTAATCCTTAGCAAGACTGTTCCCTTTAAAGTAAGCCCTGCCCAAGATTCAGCAATACTTAGGGTTGTGACAGAACAAGGTGCCAATCAAGACAGATCTCAAACTGAACAGAGAGCAGAGTTAAAATCAATCTCTGAGTCTGCCAAAGCAAACCCCACTGACTCTGATTCTAAGCCAACAGAAGAACCTAAAAAGGCTGACATGTCATTGACAGTTCAAGTCTGTACAGATCAGAAATTATCCAACTCTTCAGAAGTAACACAAACTCAAAATCTTTCAGATGGTGTGAAGATTAAGACAGCAGCACCTCTTACTGTAAATACAATAAACAAAGCCTTACCTAAAATTTTGCCTGTGGACACAAGTGTCTCTATCAAAACCACCCCAACTAATATATGCCAAGAAACCAAGACTGCCTCCAGTGAGACCATGAAGCCTTCAAGCTCTACAGAACTTCTGCCGGTGGATGACCTTTTCTGCACATGTCCAGTAAAACAGGAGCCTGCACCTCAACTAAGACTAAAAGACCCACAGGTTCAAAAGATAGTGGTGTTTCAGTCATCCTCTCCGACAGATGATGAGCGTCTTCGAGCTAAGGGCCTCCAGTTGGCTAATAATAAAGAAAATGCTGCAAGAGTAGGAGCAGATCCTAATTTGGCAAAACCAAGTCCTCAAGTGCAAAGCAAGTTATCCCCTCATTTGGCTGGAAAGGTAGAGAGGAAGGAAACCTCTGAAAACAAGACTGAGGAGGCCCTGGGAAAAACCAGCACAGAGTCACAGAATCAGAAATGCACCATAAAATCCTTACCTATTTTAGATGATCTAACAACTCGAAGTCTCAATGTGGAAAAAGTATCCACTCTTCCAGCTAAAGACTCAAAGAAGCAGGGTACTGGTAAGAAGTCACAGCGCAACGCTCCTTTCTTGAGCTTTAGAAACCTACTTTCAGCAACATTTCCCGCAAGAATGAGAAGAGAGACAGATGAGAGAAGGGCACAGCTACAAAAAGTTCGTCAGTATGAATTAGAGTTTTTAGAGGAACTGCTGAAACCCAAGTCTTCACAAGGTGAATTTATACCCCAAGGGTCTTCTCCTATTCCATCAGGTACTCCTTGTGCCTGCCAACTCCGTACCAGTCCTGTCCTTAAAGCACCAGGAATCTCCAGAGAGCAGCGGCGCAGTTGTGACTGTAAACGAATGTGCAGGGGTATGCGACTACCTGACACACCATTGGGAACCACTACAGAGACACAAAATCGAGGCAGAGACAGAACTATCTCAAAGACCCCTCCAACAGTTTCAAAAGCTCCTCATGCTGAAGGTGCCACAAGGAGACCTCAAAATCTAGAGATAAAGACAACAAGAATCCGATCTACCAGTCTTGAGTCAAGAGAGCCAAGGGGAAACCAAAGCTCTTGTTTGCCAACTTGCACTTCTCAAACCGATTGCATGGGAGCTCCACAATACAAAAAGCTTCAAAGACGATACAGTTTTGGAGAGCTGGACAATAGTTCGAGCACACCTGTGTATGCTGAAGTGAAGCCAAAAGCCAAAAGTCTGGAAAAAGAAATGGAAAGAGTGAGGGCCACGGGGCTGAGGCTACCGACTCCTGTCGAGCCGATTCACACTCAGTCTCACCAGGCAGAGGCGAAAGGCAAAAGGGGTGTCTTTTTTATTCAGGGAGAAGAACTGCTACGAGATACTAAAGAGGGGACTGGGGAGGTTCTGCTCACATTGCCCAGTGAAGACAGCGATGACAAAGATAAATGCTGCTCATTTTGTTTCTGTTACAGGAAGTGTGAAGCTGCAGATGAAAGTAGTGACAAAGATGAACTCTCATACTCCATACCCCTACAAGTCCTCCCAGGCATGGAGGTGGACTCTCGTACCTTTCCTGTTGTGAGCAAAACACTCCAGGTCCTAAATGCAGAGGATTGCAGTGGGGAAGAAGAGGAAGAGGAGGAACCGCAGACACAAGATATTGATCTAAGAACATGTGGCACACTGGAGGGAAGCCTTGCACGTGTACAGGCTTTACAGGGGAAAAGTTTCAGTTTACCGGATGGTTTTCTAAACGCTCAGCTGGATGCTAATGAGTTGCTAGCTATTCTTCGACAATGTGCTAACAGCCCACAGGCTGAAGGTGAAGCACGCCTTCAGTCCTCACGGATTGCTGAATACAAACAGGAACTGGCAGTGCGGTTCAAAGAGTTCAGGGCATCATGTCGACGGGTGGCAAGTGTTGAAAAAAGCCCAACACAAATGCTTGCTGTTGTTTCAGACAGCTTCCAGGTGTTGTGCGAACTAACTCAGACCTTCATCAAACTGGTTCGAGGAGTCCGCTCGGAAGCCCAGAGGCTACAGTTGTTGAGAAAAGTGGAAGAAGTTGCAATCAACTACACCTTGCTTCTTCGTGCAGCAGAAGAGTCCATGGGGCACTCAAGCAGTTTGCCAACAAAGACAATGAGCCCACAGATTTTCTCCAATACCAGTAATATGAGCTCACTTACACGACCCATTAAAACTCTGCCTACCCAGTAGAAGTAAATCTGGCAGGAACATGGGTAGCTATGTTATCCAAATTCATCATTTATTTAGCGTTTACAATTTTTTTACTAAATCTGCAATGAATCATCCTCAGTAAAAAATGCAAGTATTTCATCCCATGTTTACAGGTCCTGAGGTAGCTTTGTTTTGAAAAAAGAAAACAGAGATACACCAAATTAATGCACAATGGAGTAAGAACTCTTCAGCAGAATGGGTGATACAGGGCTAATCACCTCATATGAACATTCACAATACATTATATATAAATATATATATATATCATTCTAGTGAAATATTTTATACATATATATGTAATATGTATATTTTAGTTGTGTCTATATAGCAAATGATATTAAGTTTGTGAAGAAATTAAATAATAAATATATTTAAAATATACAGGATGAATATAATTATGAGATTGATGATACATCAGGAGCACAGGTATATGCTTTGGACAAATACAGTTCTGTGATCTTGACTGCAGGGACTTCGATAAACTGAATAGTCCAAATGGTTTGGTTGGTTAGGATTTGGTGTGTTTGTAGAATTTGTTACCTGTTGTAATGCAAAAATGATCTCTGTTGGCTGTCCCGGCGATGTGTGGCATATGAATATGATCCAAAATGCAAGTGAAAAAGTTGCAGTGAACAAAAAGTGTTTCAACAGGCTGTACTGTTGATCACGGCCCCATTCTATCATTTTTTAAACAGCAGGTATGGAACAAAAAATTTAGATGCAGAAAATGTAGCAGAGACCCAAGTCACAGTTTTATCCACTGTACATTAATGAGTGCAATGACATCACTCAGCTACTGAAATACTTTAACACCTTATAATCTGTAACACAAATTGTGTACTTTACACCTTTATCAATTTATAACTCACTTGCATCTCACTGATTGTTAATCATATAGACAAATAACTTCACTAGCAAGTGAGTAAGGCTGTGACTAGGATTTTGCACAACCTCAAAATGATTTCTGAAGTCAAAGTGTATCCTTAAATGTTTACATATGTGTTTCTGATTCATCCTGCTGCTGAAAACTTTACTTGAGTCAACATTACAACAGTTCATTTCCTTAATGCTAATGCTGACCTGTTTCAAATAACTCTTTAATTTTTATTCATATTTTCAGATACTGCACACTAAGATATGCTTTCTATGTGCTGTTACACATTGTGCAATCTAGCAAATATTTAAACACACAAAGTAGTTTTCTATGTATTTTAATAAAACTAAGACACCATTTGCTGTCTGAAATCTTTATTTGTCTCAGATCTTCTTGTTTTAAGGGGGAATTTATCACAGATGCTTTATCCACTTGTTTGCCTGTAATGTATAGTGGATAGGCTGGTAAAAGAAAGTGCTATAAAAGCCAAATTGTTGGTCGAAATTTATAAAGCAAAAGGGTACAAATTAATATTTTAACAAAAATCCACAAAATTATTCTCATAGATTTTATAACAACCTGGTGAGACAAGATGAGTATAATGCTAATTTAGGTAAAAGAAAAGGAGTTAATATCAGTAACAAATGTTACTTTTAAGATATTTTATCCCTAAATTTAAAACTCCTGAATCTAGTGAATCAGGCAATAAAACTAAAATATGTTTTAGATTATACCAATGCTAACCAGCACTCTCTTTTAACAGTGTTTCCTCCGATGCTAAAGCTGCGTTTTCATAACAGTTATGTAAAGTTGTTTTGTTTTAGTTTTTTCTCAATGTACAATTTTTTCTTCTTACTTTCATCCTTCAGGGACACGTATGTTGGAGCACGATTAGACGATAATATAGAGATTTTTTATATTTTAAATAGAAAATGCAAGACAAAACCTAAAAGGGGAACCATGTTCACAATTAGCAAGTGGTATTCTAGATGGAAGTGAAGAGATTTACAAACAGATGTAAATAATATGGTAACAAATCTGAGAGAATAACAACTACTTTTAAATTAATTCTTATTATTTTAAAATTTATTTCAGCCCCTAAGTGTTTTGTAAATAGGATGTTTGTGAGGTTATCATTTACAGTGTCAATGTAATATAAAGACTTATAGCAAAAGAACATATATTTTGAGGAATATTAGAAAATAGCATGAGACATGTTTATTTTTATAAACAATAATATCAGACAATGTTTCCTCATCAGCCGAAGAACATTTAAGCATCACAAGAAACATTTTCTGTGTTTATCATTGTTTTTGTTGCTTTGTGCTCCAGGTCAATTCGTCCCTTCTCCATTACGATCCCCCAACATGCACCTACATTTAACTACTGTATCATGTATAAAAAAACAGAATTGGTAAATCAGTATTTTCATAAATAATCATAATTATGCTCATAACGTACTGTACTTAGAATTGTATTTATGAGATCTTGCATATATTTATAAACTAGCCAATTGTTTTTTAACGTGGTTCAGATCCCAGTTGAATTTTTAAAGTCAACAGATTAGGATCTTTAGTCGAAGCTTCCATTAGTAGATATTATTTATAGTCAAATAACAGTTCCTTATAGTAGACTGGGTGTTGATAACAGAAAACCACCTTGACTTGTTTGCAGCCAAAAGGAGAATATTCTTTTATGCAAGGATGGGAATTAACATCCAGTGGCAGATGGCTCCTTTTCATACCCAAGAAGTTAAACACAAACAACATTATAACAAAATGGGAAGGGGTGAAATGACCAGCATTGTGCCAAACTGATTACTCTGTGTTTCATTCACATAATGATGGCCACCATAACTTGTTCTTTTATTTTTTATTTTGTGCACTTATTCATTCTTGTCTTTATTCACTGTCAATGATCTTGTCGTCACTGTGGTCTTCTGTCTGTGTACAAAGCTTATTAATGTTTTAAGAGCAATAAAGAATATTATATAAACTCTTTCAAAGAAATGGAAATCCAGTTATATGAACTAAGCTTAATTTTATGCTTTTTATTAGGGTTACCTTTAACAGCTTTTCTTTAAAGATTAAATACAAGGAGACATAATGAAATTTAATTCTGGCAAAAACTGATGTTGACTCATTAATATAAACTATATGTCAAACTAAGAGCTACCAGCTGTAAGGTTTACTCAATGTGTTGCTTGTTTTGTGTCAGTTTTTGATTCGGCACACAACCATGCAAATGGATCATCTTCACCAAAAATAAATATTCCAGCATAGATACTGTCAATTTTAATAAGATAAAAAAAAATAAATAACCGTAATTAGATCTACAGGTATTAATCATTTACAGTTCTTGTATTTTTTTTTTTTGTTTTTTTTTTTTTTTTGCATTAGTTTAAAAAATTTATCAAAAGATTTTTTAAGGAAAAAAAAAATAAAAGAAGAAATTATAAGAAATCTAAATGTTTCTGACTATGAAGATGTTAAATATTAACACAAAATGACTTCAAAGTACAGGTCCAATTTTCACACTGAGTCATCAGGGGTATGAATGCAAAACTTAATTCAAGGCTTTAACCATTTTTTTATTGTCTTGATTTATTTATGTATTGTTTTCACAACCAAATGATTTTACAACACAGCCTCGGCTTCAATAAATTTTAAATAGATGTGTCGGTGTGTAAATATAGATTTTGTGGGGGTGGGGTTTAAAATAGTAGACAGGCTGATATTTACACACCCTTACTAATATTTTATCAAAAGGTCAATGCTAAGTTGTAGCCTCACCATTCTATTTATAGCCCAGGTTTCCTGGTGGTTTTGATTCACAGACTGTTCAGGAAAGAATTGCTGGAATCTATTTGATAATTTCCTGACATTAACCCCGACATTAATTATATTTACTCATTTTTTGTAGTTCTCAGGTGGGGGCCTTGTGAAGTTAAATCAGTTAATTTAATCTTAGCCTTCTTTATCTATTACAGAACCAGTATTGATGTAAACAGGCAGAATTTACAGAATATAGAACTCTTCCACACATAATGAGTGCTGAAAGTGCCATTTCAGAGGACATTTGGCTTATCTTTGTGGGCAGCTTGAAGAGTTGACAGTTTACAGCTCTCTCTCAGTTATACCCTCCCAGTGAGTGGCAATATACCGGGTCATGAACAATGAAGATTAGCACTGCTGTTCCGTGAGTTTAGAAACCAAACAGGCTTGAGCCTGGATGATAGTTGATCATCCTTAATGGGAGAAATGTGGACTTTGGGTTGATGACTTGAAATGAATCAGACTTAAACCACAGATTTGATGACTTCAGGGTTGACTTTGTTCTATCAAAAAATACTGTTTACTTGATTTTGGCTTTGAACTGTGACTTAACTTCAAATCACTTTCTCTACTTAAAACAGAAAAAAAACTGTGATGTGAGCCTGGTAAACCCTAATATTATCTGTCTATTGAGTGTCATAAATAATATTTTCCTAAGTAGTAAGGAAAGTTCCTCTGTCTGGATATACAGCTATCATTTTCATTATGGCACAAATTTGGGGATTGATTGATTGATTGATTGATTGATTGATTGATTGATTGATTGATTGATTGATTGATTGATTGATTGATTGATTGATTGATTGATTGATTGATTGGTTGATTGATTGATTGATTGATTGATTGATCTCACAGTGGAGGAATGTACTCATTATATCAGCTCAAATAGTCAAAGGAGAAGAATGTACCAAAGGAAAAAAAAGCTGCATGGGATATATACAGTACAGGAATGGAATGAGAGCTGTGTCCCTAATCTAATAACACAGTGTAATATGCTTCTTTAACTGTGATTCGGCCACCCCAGTTTCCAGGTTGGTAAGCTGCTCTAAGCAACTTCTATTATCTGAGTAAGATTACAATTTCTGTCAATTTCTGTTTTCATGTCTCATGGTTATTTAATACATATACATTATGAATTGTTTTATAAAGAGTTTGCTCTCAGTGATCTCTTCTCAGGAAAAAAACAGAGAGAGGAAGCTGCAAGGTGTAAACACAGAGCTTTCATTTATGATAGTGAATCTAATAATAGTTAAAATAAAATATTGATTTGCTTCCTTTGTTTTCTAACATCATTAACGTCTCAGAGATTTCTCATTTTGACTTCTTAAGGACTTGAAATTTAAATTTGAAGACCTGGATCTGACTGGGGATTTGCAGGTCTTGTTTCTCGAATGTGGCAACCTTCCAGTCTTAACTTCTCACCTGACTTTAGACTTGGCTACAAATACTTCAGACTTACTTATGATTTTGTAAGTCTCGACTTGGTCCAACCTTTGGAAACTTGCGATAAGTTGATTAATTCATACTTGATTACTATTGTTTAAGCTGATAATGTTCAGATCTATAGTTGATTAAAATGGCCTCCAAAGGACTTGCATCATTTTCATCAGGCTCTGCTTCTTAATCAAAGAGTAGTTGTGCTTCTTAAGTGTTTTACAAGCTCCTTAAATGTCCTTTGTTCTAAACATTGATCTGCCCAAACAAATTCTTTCATGCTGTTAAAAAGAAACCACAGTTTGCAAAGAAGTAGGATTTCTGATGACAATGTTATGCAATGACCTGGCCAAAAGATGTTCTTAAAGGTGGTTAAAGATGGGTTTTTTGTATAATTCTATCCTGGAAAAATAAAGGTTTTAATACATACTTGAAAGCTAAAAATAATGCGACATTTATTAATTGTTGACAATGAGTGTACCGTCTGACATCTCACCCCATATAGTTTTGCATCTTATCACATAGAATCTAGTACGAATTATAAACATGTTAGAAAGCTGTAAATGTAATATTTTCATGTCTGTATTTATGTTCTATGTCTTCAAATAAATTGAACTGAATTTTAACTGCAAGGTTGACAGTTATACCTGACTTTAATATTGAATTTAAAATTAGGTGTGACTGTGACGTTTACAATAAGTCAGAATGGTGTTAATACTGTACAAAATCCAATGTATTCTGAAGGGATTTGATGTGGTAAGCATAATTTACTGTAGGGGATAATTGTGAAGTTGAAGGAAAAGTAAACACATTATTATTGTTTTTTGGTACTCATTTAGCATTTTGGAGTGTTGCATGTACTTGTACTATACGTTGATGGATTAATTTGTTGTAAAATCATCTCTCACAGCACTTACTGATGCATGTTTTTGGAGTATATCTGTACCAGCTATGAATATATGCAGAATGAACTCTTCTTCATAGTTTCGTTTTACAAAGCTGAGAGCCTCTTTGAACTGCAGCATAAATCTTTCAAGAGATTTTGAATCGGATATAGGTCTGGAAATTTTACATTCAAAAATTATTATGATTTAATCCAAAGCCTTCATTCTAAGGTGATTCTCTTGCTTAGAAGTCAATCTCCAATACATTTTTATTTCCTTCCCCTTTTTTTCAGGGCTTTTTTATCTCCTCCAATTTCAACATCAAGTCTTACCAGCGTCCCTCTTCTTGCTAAAGAAAAACATTTTGCACATAATGAAAGTCCTAGCACTGCATGTTTATTTTCAGCTACAGAGGGTTTTCATCAAGGCCTAAATGATTCACATTGGTTTCATCTGACAAAACCCTATAGGTAGATCTGAAGCTGTGTGATTTACTTTTTAATTTAAAATATTGGACAAAACAGTTCACAGTAAGAGCTTCATAACAGTACAGGTTTAGATCATCAGCCTGGTATAAAATCCTCTACATATTTTTTTCCAGTGGCCCATCTGTGATGCTGTTTGCTCTATAATATTCTCAACAAATCTACACACCTTTAAAGAACAGCTTGGTACACTAGTGAGAGAAAATGCTTTACATTTGATCTAGTGGTATGAGACCAAAGAGGAGCTGAATACAAAGGAAACCACACTTTTCGCATGTGTTCTTGCTTCCACCTCTCAATTATGCACAACTTTGTTTTGGTTTATTGCCTTACATATATCTAAATAAAATACATTATAGGTTGCAATATATATATATATATATATATACATATAAGCAAAAAAAGACACTGCGTATTAATATTGTTGTGAGGCACTAAATAGAGCTCACTGATTGTTTATTTGAAGGGTCTTTTTGCAGCTTTATATGCATCAGCTTGATTATACAGATATACTACAAACCAAAAGGTCACAGAGATAAAAATATGAAAACAGCCCAGGAATCTCTGTTCCTGGGCTGTATTTAGAAACACAGCACAGAGATGCGTGTAAATACATACTGAGAGGTCAGCATTTTAAAAGAAACAATTTTACAAATCTGTCTGAAAGGGGAAGTTAAATTAGCAAACTTTAGCTGATGTGCAAGAATCACGTGAATGTTATAACATAGTAAATGCTGCTGTGGAATGGATTTTAACCCTTTATAGGGCAAGTTACCCCTTGAACCCTGTACATCTTTTTTTCACATTAGACAAATTAGATGAGCCCTTTATTGATATATTACCTACTGTTAAGTTGAAAAAAAATTTAACAAGAAAAAAAGGTAAAAAACTCATTGAAAAGTTAAAAAGTAAAGTTACAAAGTTGATAAGCATAGTTAACAATTATATGCAGGTTTATAAACTAAACAATGTAAGTGCAAGTGTTTTTCATGAATTTGTTATAGAAGCACTTTTGCTATTTTTCTTAACATATTCGGGCAAGTTTACGTTTCTTGTTATTACATTGACATTAATTTTTGCCATCAAAATATTCATATTTTTAGAATGTTACAAAGGTAATAAGGTCTTGTCCTGGATATTTGCATTTTGTATCTCTCCTTCTTTTTCTATGTCTGTTTCTGTCTCCTTGAATCCTAGTCGGCCTCAGCAGATGAGGCTTCTTCCTGTTAAAGGGGAGTTTTCCTCTCCACTGTCGCTACAAGCATGCCTAGTTGAATTGAATTGATTATAATGACACTATTGGCTTGAAATTTTTGATTTTCAAAGTATTTTACTAAGTGCCCCTATAAAGGGTTAAGTACATGTACATAAAATAAGGTTAACGGCCGCATAATAGCTCGATTTATGGGGTATTCTGTAGATTCCTCAAAGTAAAATCGAACAACTAAGTGGTTTGTTTGAGGTTTATTTTTAATTTTCAAAAATGTACAGTCGTGCCAAAGCACACGCATTACTTAGGATATGTTACGTTAACTAAATAGAGAACTAAATAAACTACAATAAAAAACATAATAAAGGGGTCTGCCTATGATATAAAATGACACGATTCAAGAAATAATTCTTGGTTTGAGTGACGCTCGCGCACGCTATCAGCTTCCTCGTTGCCGCTGACGTCATCTCGGCACTGCGTAAGTAAAACCTGCGTGCGCGCGCTCCCCATTTCCACTCATCCGCACGCGCGAGGTGTGGGACATAATGGAGGATAGGTAGGGGGACTCTCCACGGCTCGTTAAAGAGTAGCTTATCAACTGTTGACTTATTTCCAGTTGTCGCCTCCGAATCGACCGCTGCCCGCCGCCGCAGCCGAACGGCGCAACAAACGACGCAACAAAATGCCGAACATCAAGATTTTTAGCGGCAGCTCCCATCCGGATCTGTCTCAGAAAATAGCAGACCGCCTCGGTCTCGAACTGGGGAAGGTTGTTACCAAGAAATTCAGCAACCAAGAAACATGGTGAGTTTTTCTCTATGCTGCGGAGAAAATGTTAATCAGTGTAAAATATTGTAACGCAGCTGTTTGTTAGCCGCTAATGAGAAACGTGCAGTCACCGTGAAAATTGCCGCGCGGTGTTTTCAGGAACTTGTAGTCCTTGTATGCTCAGAACTCATGCCAACTTGCCTGTTTAAAATACGAGTTAAAAAAATCCTCAGAATTAAACTAAATTTGCTGTATAACACTTTATTCTTAACTTATCAACAACATCCCCCTTTGATCAGGCCCAATCACATGGGCACAGAAGCCATTGTTTACTCTGTGTCATCCATCTGCTCAAAGTGCTGTTTGTTTTCTCACCTCTTCTCTGGCAGTGTGGAGATCGGGGAGAGCGTGCGTGGAGAAGACGTCTATATCGTGCAGAGCGGCTGTGGGGAGATCAATGACAATTTGATGGAGCTGCTGATCATGATCAACGCCTGCAAGATAGCTTCAGCCTCCAGAGTCACAGCTGTTATCCCCTGCTTTCCTTACGCCCGGCAGGACAAGAAGGACAAGGTGGGGGTGAGGGATATTTGTCTACTTACTTCTGTCATGCCATTTGCCACCCAGCATCATGGCCAGAAGCCTGCAGACATGTCCACCTGCAATCAGCCCTTAAGGCGGATTTTCTTTTAGTTTTTATTTTCAGGTTTTCCCATTTACTATTATTTCACCCTTTACATCCCATTGCATGAGTAGCATGACAGTGGAATGTTTATTGCATGTTCTTGTGCATCTTGCCGAACGTGTATGTTATCAAAAAGTGTGACCAATCAAGTTCAAACATAACACTGACAGATTTTAAGATTTAATTTCTGTTTATCAAGTTGATTGGAGCTTATTGATAAAACTTGATTTTTCAGAAATGCCCTTATGTTATAGCACAAGTCCTTGTGTTATAGCACAATAATGGAAGAGACTACTGACTCAGTGCAGGTCTAGCTAAGCAGTCACTGACTCTCTCAGCATAGGGGTGTAGGTCATGAAATTAATTTGCTTAAGTAGCTTGCGATTTAAAGTGCTGTGAGTGAGAATAATAAACGAATGCTTGGTGCATTTTCTTTTAACCAACCTTTGCACTGACAAAAGGGGTTTTATTTTTTATCTACAAGAAATCAGCTGTTGAATTCAATAAAATATATATTTTTTATTAATTCAAATAAATGCATTATTCAGAGAAGTATTTGCCTAAATTTAGTGTTGATTTTATCCTTTTATTGATGTGACTGAAGTCTGGTGCTGAGCTCTTAGTAAAATGTTATTTTTAGAAAGGAGTCATGGCTGCCATTTTTTTTTTTTTTTTTATTCCATGTGACTAAACAGATCTGCTTTCATTGCAGAGCCGTGCTCCTATCTCTGCCAAGCTGGTGGCCAACATGTTGTCTGTATCAGGTGCGGACCACATCATCACCATGGACCTGCATGCCTCACAGATTCAGGTGGGTTACAGCAGTTTGAAAAAAACAACTTATAATTCCACTCGTTCAGCTGATCCATATTCAGGATAGCATTTGATTTTTAATTCACTTATTTGCTTTTCTCTGCCAGTTTATGGCATCCCTCCCTGCTTAGGTTTATGGCTTTCCTAAGTCGGCTATATCTCAGGGCATTTATCGTTGATTTCTGCTCCTCGTTCCTTCTAAACAAATAAACGTGACTTGCTTTCAGCCCATAACAACTTGGTGTCAGGTGAAGAGCTTTACCTGTCCTTCCTGTTTGATACAGATGGTCACAGCGAAACAAACTACTGATCAAGTTAAATACATTCTAGGGAAATGTGCTCCAGACATGAACTCTTAATGTGATGCAAAACGTGCACATAAGCTGTTTGCACAGATCTGGCTTGCATAGTTGTGAGAACTAAGGCTATAAAACAGCCCTGTATGACAAGAAAGAATTTGTTTATCTTTTTTTCAGGGGTTCTTTGATATCCCAGTGGATAACTTGTATGCAGAACCGGCCGTCCTAAAATGGATCAAGGAGAACATCCCCGAATGGAAAAACTGTATAATCGTGTCACCTGATGCAGGCGGAGCCAAAAGGTATGACCAGCCTTAGCTGCTCTGTATTTCTTTTGGGATTTACTCCTGATTAGTGTTTTTTGTTGACACAGCGTAGCTCCATAACAAAGCCATTTGATGTGATTATCCATGTGGTGCTCTTTGTACTCTTCCCTGTTCAGGGTCACCTCCATTGCAGACAGACTGAATGTGGACTTTGCTCTCATTCACAAGGAAAGGAAAAAGGCAAATGAGGTCGACCGCATGGTTCTGGTCGGAGATGTGAGAGATCGAGTTGCAATTTTAGTGGATGACATGGCTGACACGTGTGGGACAATCTGCCACGCTGCTGACAAGTGAGCTACTTTTTTTCTAAGTAAACATCGTTCGAAGATTTATCATGGAAACAGAAAATAGAATAATGTTTGTGTCCATTCCCCTATTTATTCATCCTTCCTTTTTCCTATACAGGTTTCCTGTTTAAAATCTAAACACTGTAGAAAGAGCTTGTTGATGTCTTCATTCAACCGTTTTCTTTCTCTCCCTTAAGGCTCATCTCTGCGGGAGCAACGAAGGTTTACGCCATCCTGACCCACGGCATCTTCTCCGGTCCGGCCATTTCGCGCATCAATAACGCCTGCTTCGAAGCCGTCGTCGTCACCAACACAATCCCGCAGGAGGAGAAGATGAAACACTGCTCCAAAATACAGGTTGGAAAGCAACTCAAAACGTGAAATACTTTACTGATGATGTTTTGTTTTATACGATTTCTCAGTCATACATGTTGAGATTCACCAGCTGCTTCTGATGGTTTGTTTTCTTCCTCCAGGTTATAGACATTTCAATGATCCTAGCAGAGGCCATTCGCAGAACTCACAACGGGGAATCTGTGTCTTACCTCTTCAGCCACGTCCCCTTGTAGCAACGGCATCATCTGCTCGGTCGATACCAAATAAGACAAGAAGGAGAGCCCCCACCCCAAAGAATACCATTCGCAAAGCTGTTCTGCTAATTAACCGTGTTGAAATCAAACGATGAAAAGATCAGCTGTTATGTCTGTTACTAATGCCCCCCCACCCCACCTCCCGATTAGGGAGCCGAAAGCAAAGCGACTCGGTTTTAGGCAAGCTTATTTATAATGTCTATGGATAAATGAGGTGTTTATCCCCTGTGAACTGTGTTTGTCTTTTGGTACATTTAACTCATTGTTTCTCCTGATCATCGTGTCACTTTGTTGTCAGAGCTTCTTTAAATATCCCCGGCGGGTTCCAGTGCTCAGGAGAAGCGTCTGTTATATTAAAGCTGTTACAGTTGCTTTCTGTTACAACAAATGCGTGTAGTTTCCTCTTCTGCTGCTTGAAAGGATTGCAGTTACTCCAGTGAATGTGTATTTAACTAGTTTACAGTGCCACTAAAAACTCCACTCAACCAAGAGTGCCTCAAAAGTCTGAAATTAAATGACACTTTCCTCTAGTCTCAATTACTCCTCTCCCCCCTTTTCTCACGTTGTAGTTTTCTTTCTCAATGAACGGCTTTGGAGTGTCTTAGCAGGCTGAAAACTATTTTTTTCTTTTAGAATGTTTCTTTCAACTCTTGAGGTGCCCTCATTGACAGGGGAATGCCCAGTCTCTCCAAAGTTTTCTTTTGTTTTTGAAAGTAAGATAAAGAAGCAATCAGGTTTTTAGCTTGGGGTCTCTGCAGGTTGGAGCTTCCTTCAGAAATGTTCACCTGCTGTCCTTGTGTTCTTTTTGTTTTGTTTTTATGTCAAGTAATTTGTCATCAATGTGCATAATTCAAGCCTTCGTGTTCTTTTACAGTAGAACGAATGCATTGCGTATGAGGACGCATTCTCAATAAATTTCAGTATGCCAAAAAGAAAAATCTCTGGTCTCTTGCTTGCTACAAACTGTTTACACTTATTTTACATTTGCTTTAAAAAGGTTTAAAGTGCTTGGATTTTTTATTTTTATTTTGCTGCAATACAAACACTTATGCTAACCTGTTAGTGAACAGTAGTGAGGTATGTACATGGCTTCTATTTCTTGATCATGTTAACTCTTGTTTCTCCCTTCCATTTTACTTTTTATGATTTAAAAAAATCTGCTATATAAAAAATGTCAAGTTGGACATTTTATCCTATCTCTATTTATTAATTAATTTTTTTTATTGTTGACATTTAAACGTTTTTTTTTTTCTGGTTTTTATTACAGTCTGGTGATTTTAAAGATGAACGGCCCAAAACAACCTGAAGCATTAATATTTTTAGTCTGGATTTCAAAACCCGACTGATTAATTATGCCTATTTAAAAAAAATAATTCAGTTTTTGCATTTGCTAAAGTGAAAAGTATTTTGTTTCCTAACCTGCTATTTAGAGGCATATAGAAGGTTATTTTTAATATTTGATTCTTGCAATATAACAGATTTGTCTTTAACACTCGAAGCAAATTTTTCAGTGAAATAACAGTTACTTTCTTTTCAGAATCAGCACTGGCACTTTTAATAGTGTTCCATATTAAATTTGAAACAACCCATTGTTTATTGTTAAAGTTTATTTATTGTTGCCTCTTTTAGACATATTAAATACCCACCAGCTGTTTGGCTCTTCTGCGATGGACTGGCGACCTGTCCAGGGTGTACCCAGCCTCTCGCCCGTAGGCAGCTGGAGATGTGCACCAGCAGCCCTTGTGACCCCGCTTGGGATTAAGCGTGACAGGAAATGAATGGATGTTTTCCTTTTTTCTACTGCAATGGTTAGATGGATTTGACAAGAAGGGATGGACATGTGAGAAAGCACCTCACTTTTACTGATTAGCACAGGGGAGAATCAGCGATGTTCTTGGCTGCAAACCCCAAGCTATCCTTTTAAAAGCACATGGCATCATAACATCTTAAATTAGGATGAGCTGCGTGACAATCTCATGGTATGATCCAGAAAAAAACAGATAAATGCAGCAGGAGGACATCCAAAAAAATGGCCAAATCAGCACTGCATCAGTTACCAGACAAAAAAAACCTCTACATCGTTATCTCCATACTTAACTATTATAGAAAGTCTGTGGGCTAATTAATAAAGAGACAATAAAGAAACTTGAGAAGGCTTAGGGGAATGCAGAGATTATGCTCTTAATGGTCAAAGATCCCTCCGATTGTTCTCCAAACTGTTCTGACTGAATTAATCCTCAACTGACTCATGTTCGCTCTATTAAAATCCCATAAAAGAAAGTGTTGGATTTCTGAAAAAGAAACCCGTCTTAGTTTAGGCTACCATAATAAAAGGTGGATTTATTTTTAAGGTTCTTACATAGATGATCATTTCTGCATTTTACATGACATTAAGATTTATCCAGCATTGTTATTGGTGTAAAGAGCCTAAATGAAGTAGAAATAATATTTAACCTTGCAAAGAAAAATGTGACCCATCAGAAACTGACTGCAGGGGGTAAGTGTACATTCTTCTATATATTTCCGTAAAACATGCGAGAAAAAGAAAGTTCATGCACTCTGAGTAACTATAGGTAGATTCAAACTTGATGCTCTATGGATTTTCTAAACATTTGATCCAAATCGGATTCACAGTAAAAATACTGTCTATTTGCAGCTAAACACTATTTGCCGAACTGATGCACTGAATTCCTTTGTGCTGTCGTTTGATTATGTAAACCGACTGGGTTCATCTAAGAAAGTGTTAAATTATTACGTGAGCGTTTTTGTCACATCTTTGCTAGAGTTTGGACTCATTTATGATAAATATTGAACTTTATTGATCTCACATTAGAGAAATTTACCTCTGCATTTAACCCATTCCCTTGGGGAGAAGTGGGCTGCCATTGTACTGCGTCCGGGGAGCACTGTGGGGTTAACCCCCAGATTCCACATACTCCGTCAGCGCTCCGCTCCGCTCCGCCCCGCTGACGTACGTCGTGCGGAGCGCTTGTCTTTCATGGAAATCAATGAGAGCTGTTCCACATCCACCGCTACTCCTCCGCACGTCTCCGTCCACGTACATCTTCTCCGTCCGTCACCGACAAATTACGGAGCCGAGATAGCTCCGCTCCGGTCCGGCCAGGTCAAGATCCGCAATTGCAATCGCACCAAACAGGAAGAAGAACATCTACAAATTCCGGTTCGTCAAATTAAAACATAGCAGCAACAGATCGGTGACTAGAAATTATAGCACAATTCTTATATATATGTATATAAATATATATATATATATATATATATATATATATATATATATATATATATATATATATATATATATATATATATATATATAAAAAATCTAACACCGTTTATTTAAATGATTGGATCCAAACTATTGGTTATTCACCAACCAGGAAGCAGATTTCTCATCTCCATCAAAAAATTTATTTTATACCGAGGGACTTAAACTTTAATCAAATCCATTCAAAAGAAACTTCTTATTACAGGAATGAAAAGAGATGCTGAGTTTGGGAGTAGAGAACAAGTTCATTCAAAAAAAGCTGTTTTGAATTATCCTTATCCCCGTTACAAAAAACTACAAATATATATATATATATATATATATATATATATATATATATATATATATATATATATATATATATATATATATATATATATATATATATATATATATATATATTTGGGCAGAAACTGGACATATGCTGGATGATGGTGGGATCTTTTTAATATGTCATATTAAATTAAGCGTTCACAGGGTTCATACAGGAATGAGTGACTCTAATTTAATGCTATTTTAATGCTATTAGAAATGATTTTAATGCCATTAACAAGAACCATGTACACAAGTTATTAGTGTACATGAAATATGAAGGAGCTGTAAGCACAGTTCCATGACTCCTGTATGTATGTAAACACACACACATATATATACGTATATATATATATCCTCTAGCTTTTTCTCCGCCTGGAGCTTCCTTTCCGAACATACGGCTTTATGATCAGTTTCACGCAAATTAATAGCGATATAATATATCGGACGAAATTGTTTTTATAAGCATTTTTTATTAAAGAATTATAAATACTTCGATAAACATATTTAAATAATTTTAGTGCCAATTAAGGCCTTGATTTAAAGAAAAAATGAATGAATTGTAATTATTTTTAATGATCCGCGGAAACCCTGGTTCATCTCGCGCATGCCCTCTACGATCTCCAAGAAACTCAGAGCGGAGCGGAGGGGACCACAGCGGCGGCTGTAGGCTTTGCTTTGCGCAGGCGATCTGGAACGCAGCGGGGCGGAGCGGAGCGGAGCGCTGACGGAGTATGTGGGATTTCAAGGTCAGGGTCTTGCTCATGGACCCAGGGTGCAGGCTGTGGCGATCAAACTGGGTAGTTGCAACCTTCACATAATACAAGCTCATTGCTCTAACCTCTAGGCCAAACACTCCCCTTTATTAACATGGTTTCATATGTGTTAACCAGGTCTCCATTCCTGCCAGCCAACAGTGTATTAACTCTTCTTGAATTCTCTTAATACACAACATATACTTGATTCAGAGCGTGAAATCTGTGATTTTACTCTCACAATGAAATACCTCTTTTTTTTATCATTTGAAGAATAACAAATAAAACGGCCCAGATAAGTTAACAGGAATTCTGCAAGCAATTATTTTGACAAACTTGCTCCTTTTCTTGCCAAAGAGAGCATCAAAAATCACAAACACATACACTTTAAAATAAAGGATTGTTTTATGCCTAAGCTGAAAAGAGGCAAATAACTTAGGCCTATTGATTATTGGTGTCCTATGTGTTTTTTTAAATAATGTTTATAAAATCATGGCTTCATTATTTACAAAAACACTAAAATCAGTTCTAAATATTGGAGAAACACAGTCTGGATTCATGCAGAATAGATATATTCACAATAAAATGCGGCTCATTCTTGATATTCTGGACCAGGGGTTTTCAATGTTTTCCAGGCCAAGTAGCCTACCCCCAAACTGATGGCGAGATTGAGCGGAGACCCTCTAATTATATATATATTGTATGAAATTGTGTTTTATCAAACTGGTCCTATAGTCACTCTGTTACAGATGAAGTCATGTAATGAAAGTAATTTCACCCTGGGATTATGAAAGTATTTCTGATTCTGATCCCTGGTTGATGGGACAGGTGTTGTGAATGAAACGGTGCCCAGCTTGAAAGAGCTCCTGTGTGTCGCTGAATGTGTGCATTGATGACTGAAAGACATCTTCTGCCTCCAGTTATCTCTTTACCACAGTGTGTTGAATTCATGTTAATGTGGATTTAGAGACATTTCAATTAGTGGAAAAAATTGCAAGGGAGAATATAAGAAAAAAAAAGTCTAATCAACCAAAACTTTCGCGACCCCCATGCAGAACCTCTGTGGACCCCCTAGGGGTCACGGACCCCTGTTGAAGACCTCCGTTCTAGACAATTCAGAGTCAATTACTGATAATAGTTTCATACTCCTGTTAGAATTTTACAACGCTGATTCCATTAATCATAACTTTATGTCTTCATAAATTTGGATTTGCTCCTTTTTCCAATATTATAACTAAAACATGATAATAACACTAACTGCTCTTTCAAAAAGCTACCTCCCCCAGATTTAACCTATATCGATGGAACCTCTTCCTTTTAGCAACTTAAATTCTTGCTGACTATATTTTTTGAATCAACTAGGCTAAAACTAAAATCCTAATCCAAACTTTCTCTGATTTATTGAGGCCTCACTTGGATATAAACAAATGTGAACTTCTACCAATTAAAGATCGTACTTTAGATTCTGTTATAACATATTCTGTTAAAGAAAGTGCCACATTTTTTTTGACACAATTATGTCTAAGAACAGCTTAGAAAGGTGCTAAAGTCCTTAAATGTTGCTCTCTTAATAAATCAAATAAAT